TTAGTGTCTTATGCTTCCACCTAAAAAGCAAGTTTATTTCTGTGGGACTGAACCATCTCAAGCAGATTACTTAGGCTACAAGAGCTAATTTCCAGTGTTCTAAAAAGTCTTCCACTTTTATATCTGCAAGGACTAGTTTTACCTAAAGAGGTGCCAATAACCAGACTTGAAAGTGAGACCATTGTTTGAGTCAACAGAAAACACTGAACTCCCTTCTACCTAGAAGTGTGCATTGGTGTGAAAAAAGGGCTTATAAGAACAACTTTCCCAAAATTAAGTGACTCAAGCAGTGGTTATATTCTTTGGTATCACTTAATAAAATCCTGAGAGGCAGACTTCCAGTGGTGCAGGTAGGCGGTGGGGCGTATGGAGAGCCAAGCCATAGACCTGGGCTGGTGAGAGGGCAGCTGGCTGAAGCCAGGAGTGGCAGCAGGGAGGACGCCCAATGGAAGACCAGGTCTAGGCACCCCCACGCCCATCTGCAGGCGGCTGTCACTGGTCTCCATGGACCCATCCCTGGTGCTACTACACTCAGTGTCGCCAGGCCTGTCAAGCAGCATACTGACCGAGTTCAGCTTCCTGTGCCAGGGCAGGGTGGGCAAGAGGAAGCTGGACTGCCTGCGTGCAGAGCTTCCTCTACCTCTTCTCTGTGCTTCTTAAGCTGGATCCCAAGCATACCAAGCTGCCACACAAGCTACTCTCCCCACTGTGGCACCAAGACCTGCTATGGCCCCTGGACAACCTGGAAGTGGAAGCAGTGAGCTGAGTCGTGCTAGAGGAGACAGACCTGCCGTGCATTTGACATATGATCACATGGGGAAAGGACTGGTTCCTCAAACTGACACCAAGAATGTTGCTGTGAAGGTGAAGTATCCATCCTCTCAATCTAGCAGAAGGAGTTGCTGAGTCTGGAAGAACACTAGGGGGAGGGATGCTCATATCCGGCAACTGAATTTGGTGGTGGACCTCATGATCAGCAGGCCTTGGCACATCAGAGGATGAGAACAGTAGCAGCGTTGTGTAGCTAGCTAATACCATGGGACTCAGAAGCACCCACCACTGGAGCTTCCTAATGATCCAGCTGCTCTTCTCCGGGGACTGATGGCATTTGTAGAGTCTGAACTTTGGTTTTGTAGTCAACCACTGAGGTTGACCAAGTGCCTTCTGTGTGCCAGTGCTGTAAAGACTTAGCAGAGCCAAAGGAGGGACCCCAGTGCTCACAGAGCCAGACTGGCTTCTCAGTTAAAGCTGGCATTTATTGAGCACTTTGTGCCAGGTGGGGCTTTGGGCACTGTACAGACACTCCCATGTGAGGGAGATTCTCGTATCCCCATTAAGAGTTCCTACAAGAGGAAGTTTTGGAACCATGTCCAACACATTAGAAGGAATCTGCAAAAAATTAGTGTTTATCGCCATTATGATTCTACAGGTAAGGAAACACTTAAAGAGCTAGAGGAAAATTGGGATAGTAATAGAAGAGCTGGGGTTGGAAGAATTGCTGTCCAGCTCCAGAGGCCACACTTGTAACCACTGTGTGGTTTTGCCACCCCCACAGTTAGCCAAAGGGGTTGAGGCCAGCAATAGACCAGCATCCCAGGGCAGGTGGCATGGGTGAGACCTCCTCTGACCTAGGCTGTGCCCATTCTTAGGTGGAGTCTCCTCTGTGGTTTGCAAAGTGGGGACGTAGGTTTGTAAGGATGGACTGAGGCAATGCCTACTGTGCTCAGAAGTGATCGGCGCAGCCAGCGCTCTTCAAATGTTAGCTTTCGGAGGTGTGATTCATGTGATTCCAGTTTTACTATTGTTATCAAAATCACGTTTTCTGATAATAGAACTGACAAGGGAGCTGGATCCTGTAACTTTAAAAAGCAATCTTTCTTCCTGTATCAAAGGTAATCCTATTAAAGCAGGTGCCTTTGCAGTGGAAAAACAAGCATACAATATAACCACATGTTCCTACTACATAAGTCAAACTACAAACCTCTCTATTCCCAACCCTTTTGTAAGGCCCTGTGAACTAAGAAAAATAATTTGTGAAGAAAAAATTTTGTGAGCAAAAGTATTTCATGACATGAGAAAGTTATGAAATCCAAATTTAAGTGTTCATAAAGTTTTATTGTAACTGTGAAGATTAATCTACCTACCACTCATAATTACTCCAAACAGGACGAGAGGTACTTTCCAACAGGAAGATGTGTTTTTACTCTACTACGCCAGATGAAGTAGGATCTCCTCCTCCCTAGCAATCACTCAGCTAGTAAAAAGCCACCATACTGCAAATTGTTTTGTTTAGAATAGCCCCTATGAACTCCTCCCCCCATTCCTCTATATTCTTCTTTGTTCTATAGACTTGTGCTGGTTTGCCATTAGATTGAAATGTCCCAAACTGCAAATCTTGGTAGTTCCCAAATAAGCTCATTTTGCTGGAGAAATATCTGGCTCTTTAAGGTCAACAGAACACAGCCCTGTTCAATTGTTTATATATTGATTATGGCCATTTTGGTGCTACAATTTCAAAGTTGAGTGGTTCCTACAGAGATCAGATGGCCTGCAAAACCTAAAATATTTACTATATGGTCCTTTACAGGATTTGGTCCTTTGTCAAATACTGTTCCATTAGACAGGATTGGCCTACAAATGGAGTCAAAATTTGAGAAATTCAGTATTATAAATTATTTTAAAGCCCTGCAGTAATGTAGAAAAGGCAATATGAAAAATGTCAACTATAACTGGTTATTGTAAGGCTCAAATATAGCTGTTTCTAGACTTGATATATTTATATTTGGTGAATCAGAAAGACTCCTTTTTTTAAGTGCAAGCAGTTCTCACTTTGACTATGCAAGCTCAAACTGTGTAATCTTAATCTATGGGATTAACAATCTACTGTGACCTTAAAATTTGTCGAAACATTAAAAACTCTTGATGTAGGTTATAAGTGTAAAAAAATAGTAAAATATCTAAAACATTAGAAACTTTGAAAATTGTAGTGTTTTATTTCTTTATAAAAATGTATCAAGAGTAGTTAGAACAAGGCTTGCTTTCTTCTCATATAATTTACCATAAAGAGTGAGCATCTTTTCTGTGCCTTGGCAAATCATCATACTCCTAAGTTTAGATCAACTTCCAAAATTTTATCCTTTGTGCTTTCAACAGCATGCAATATCTCTTGAGAATTCCTTTAATGTGAAGTTTTCCTCTGCATCACTTCCTCTGAGAGTTCATCCTTTATGACACAACTTTCTTCACTTATAACTATGTTTGCATTAAGTTCCTCTGGCTGTATATCTAGACTTACGTCTTGAATCAAGGCACTGTTGATATTCCCATGGTCATTGACATCTTCTATAATTGCATTTACATTCCATCCAAATCCTGCAAAGTTTTTGCACTGTTGTACGAAGCCAGGACCGCCGAGAATTCCTATAATTCTTGGAATCTGGCTGCAAATTTCACAGTAGCCTCCTCACCTGAGCTTGCAGTTTCACCAGATAATGTTGATGAATTCATGCAGACTTCTAAAATGATGAAACTAGCCTTTACTGGCAGTAAAATATTCTTTTCAGTCTCCCTGAATTTACCATTGCCTTCAATGCAGCATCTAACTTCGATGCATTGGCCTAAATGCTAGCCAAACTGGGAATTATTTTTGATTATAGTCCTTAATCCAAAGTAGAAGTAAATCTTCCATTTCAACCATAAGTGCCTTTCTGTTCCTAGTACAACTTAACCTGTAGTTTCATGTAGGCCTTGGTCTCGTTCTATCTTTGCTTTGCTGTCACCATTTTCAAATCTAACCATATCCAATTTCATTTTCAGTTTTATCACTTTTTGTTTCTTTGCTGCTGTCATCTTTGTTGACCAATTCCCTCTTTTGGTTTTATCTATTTCTATAAAATGTTGCATACAATACAATTATTCTATCTGTGTGTGAACTAATAGATGTTCAGTGACCAATCACCAACAGAGTTTGAAAGAAGTGATAGAACTGGTTAATGATCATGATGCACATCTTTGATTTGCATTATGATTTGTACAATAAAGAGCTAGCAAAAAAGTTTATGCAACAATTCAGTTAATGTTGTGGTAACTGAAATTTCAACCATGTTGTTGAATTGGTGATATTTACACTGAAAACTGATATTCATGCATGTTGGAATGGTACAAAGTAAGGACTACCTGTATCTGAAAAGAAAAACATGTATTAGTTCACAAATAGTCAATTATTAATCCAATTTAGTTAACTATTAGCCAAGCCTAATCCTAGATCAAATAAAAACTGAAACTTCTTAAAGGAATGGTAATTCCAAGACTGCATTACTCACTGGAGCTAGAAGAATGTTTGGGAATAATGTAATACAGAATTATTCAAATTAGAATTTGTAGAGTCCAAAGGTATTCTTTTGAGAATTTAGGCCTCTTCTCCTCATTTAAATAATCTTGAGGTTTGCAAAAGGGTTAATTTCTGGACAACTTTTGTGTTGCCCAGATTGCAAAACTTTACAATCATCACCAAGACTATATGTTTTTATGATGCATTCCATAGCAACCAGGACCATGTTTACTGCTGTAAAACAGTAGCATCCATCCCATTAATGTTTTAGTTTTGTTCTTAAATGTATTTATTTTGTAAATCTTTTCATTAAGAGCCATAAACAAGTTTATATCAATGTTTATGTTTGTAGAAATTTAATAGAAAAATAAATCAACATTAAGTAGCCACAATTTTTTTTTTTTCCCTATATATTACTCAAATTTGAGAAACACCCCAAGACAACATGCCTAATTAACGACAGATTAACTTGGTTTAGGTTTGAGATTCCCAGCTTCCAACCACCTGCCTATCTACTATTCATGAACAAAGCTTAAGTTAAAGGATGGTCACCTACTGGGCATATTGAAGGGTATTTATAGAATATCCAACAGTTCAGCTGATTTAAATCTGGAACATATAATCTCTAAGAATTTCAGGGGCTGAAAGGATTATGCCATTATTTTTAAGAAAAGATGACTATTAAGGTTAAAAGTTCTTCTCCCAACCCAACCAATGGCTTATTCTTAATTCAATCTATTGATTCGGAAAATTATATTACCTTTAAAGTCACATGTTATCTTTGGAAGCTGAAAAAGTAAGGAAAAAACTCTGAGTACAGAATCCAAATTATGCTCAAATATCAATTTTGCTCAGTTTTTGTGTTTTATCAAGACTAATAAATATGTAAACCTCTTACCTTATTATACACATCTTTGAATTCTTGATCAGATAAATCAGACAAATATTTTCTAAGAAAAACACCCTTCGATTTTACACCTAAAAGGAAAAACATGTACTGGTAAATCAATATACAAAAACTACGTATCTGTAAGCCTCGCAATTTCTTTTCCATTATGTCCTCATCCACATACATTAATCACAACAAATCATGATGTGAACAGCAGTGGAAAAAGTTTAATCATTGGACATTTATAAATTTTTATTTTCAACTTATGCTCTAGTTATAAGGTTTTCGTTGCATGCCCCATTTTTAAAAACACATAATACATACACATTTCTATTCATTTCAATTCTTTCATGTAGAACAGATTACACCTCCAAATTTATTAAGATTGGAAAAAATCCATAACAAAGATAATTTCAAGGATATTGTTTATCTACTTTGCACAGATTACTTTATGCTAACTTGCAGATGTCTTCTCACCATCAGGCCTGATATGGAAAGGGTCATCCCTTAATACATTCCAAAACTGGTTATGCGGTGCTTGGTATGTAATGCTTTTGTTATTAGACAAGGTTTCCAATGATCAGAAGTACTCTAATGCTAAAAGACAAGGGGGAGAGTTGTCTCTGTCAACAAAGAACTTTTAAGTAGTGATAAAGGGAAAAGATTACAAATCTCATAACTAATTAGAATTCTTCAGAACTTTCTGATTGTTTGACAAGGTCTATTACGTTGCTTATTAAGAAGTACAGAAGCCCGTGTGGGTAGGGGAAGCAGCAGCAGAAAGAAAAGGAAGTATACTAACCATACTGGATAAATATCAAGCTTTGGGGGAAAAGGGCAAACCGCTCTAATGCTGCTGTTGTATAACTGCGTCTTTACTTATCCTATATCAAATATTTGTGTAACTGTCTAGAAGTAATTGGACTATATTCCTTGAAAAAATTTTAACCTTTCTGCACCCCAAGCAAAATACTAGGAGTAGGAGTACTCAGTTTCTATCTATAGTCTAGTTCCAACCAGCTTTTCTCACCGCTTCTACCTAGGAGGAATTGGGAAAGGGGAAACAGGTCCAAGAATAATATTTATGATCAAGGTAGTATTCTCTGACTATAAAATGAACTTTCTTATAAACTCCCTAGAAATTTTCCAAAGGAATGTAGCATCACTTAAGCAGTTTATATACACAGGCAAGAAAGAAACTGTGCACCTTAGAAAGGAAAGCACTTATTTGGATACGTAGATACTCAGATGTCTAATTATCTGACTTGAGGGTTAAATATTAAATCTCTTGATTAAATAAATTAAGAGTTAAAAAAAAGAGCACGTAAAGTGTCAGTGAGCCTCCAAGATGGTCCCCAATAATCTTATAGTGCCCACCTATGCCATACCAGGATTAGTCTCTGTGACCAATAGGAAGGGGCAGAAGTGATGTTATGTCACGTTCAAGATTAACTTTTAAAAGACAAGCTTCCCTCTTGGCCTTTCTCTCTTGGATCATTCCCTCTGGGAGAAGCCAGCTGTTGTGTTTAGAGGACATTCAGACAGCCTATGGAGAGGTTCCCATGGTTAGGGAGAAGTTCACATGGTGAAGAAGAACTAAAGTCTTCAGCTAATAGCCACCAAGAAACTGAGGAATGCCAAATGAGAGAGTTTGGAAGCTGATGTCGCCCGCCTTCCCCAACCATAAATGTTTGTTATTTTAAACTACTAAGTTTTGGGTAATTTGTTACATAGCAATAAATAAGTAATATAGAGGGACATAATCCATATTCAAAAAGTAAAATGTACAACTTATGAATTAGTCGAAAAGATCTGAAATTTTGGGGGAAGGATCAGATCTAGAATTGTCTTTATATTTGGTCACAAATAATCTCAAAACCCCAAGGCTTTCTGAAGCAAAAATGCCCAGAGAACTGAAAGGATGAAAAATTCACCAAGAATATAAATCAGTTACTAGATTTAATATCAGGACAACGAAATAAAGGTTCTAGTAGAACTGAGTAAGAATCTGACAAAAGGATACATGTTCAACAAGGAAGATACTAGTCCTATAAAGAAAAAAGTCTATTTGCTTTCATTTTCATTTTCAGGGTTGTTATGAGAAATAGATATTATTTTTAAAAAAATGTGTGTGTGTGTGTGTGTGTGCAAAATGCTTAGCACAATGTCTGGCATATAACCTTCAAGAAGCATTAGCTGTTACTATTTTTCCCCCAAGTGATCAATTAATGAGATTCTATACCATAAAACAGGCTATTAGATTTCACCAAAGCCTTTATAAATCCATTTTTTACTTGGACAAGCCTCCATTTCCAATTCACTGCTATTGTTCCAGGAATACTCAATACATTTACCACAGAAAGACATACTCTACCTCCTCTGCATATTTTGAGTCATGTTCCAAGACCCAGGAATCTTTTCCCAATATCTCCAAGAATGTAATTCCTGAAAAAAGATATTTTCTCTTAAATTACTTTGTGCAACAGTCAATGCGTTTTGCAAATAATGTCTTTAATAGTTATATATTCTCATTAACATATTCAATAATCACAATGGTTCATTACGTGAACAGCAGTGGAAAGGTTTAATCATTGGATATGAAATTATTAGCGGAAGCAAAGATCTAATTAAATGATCAAAATGAGAATCTCAATTTCACCAATAAAACAGTAAAAAATAGCAACAATAAAGCATATAAAAGTATAAAGCAATGTAAAGATACATAAATACAACTCAAAATAATTCCACTTATAAGGGAGGGCATACTTCCTTACCCAAAAGTACACTAAGACTACCTAAGGCAGTGACCCCTTGTGACTTCTGTACAGTGACTTATTTAAGCAGTCTACAACATTTAAGTAAATCTGTTCTGTAGCATAGCAGTTTTCAGTAACTCACTTGTAATTAATAATTAGAAGATGTGTCAAAATAATGTGAGAGCCACATTGTTTCATCTTTCTCAGGAGAACCCCAACATCTGAAATCACCAATTAAGCAGAAGAGAAAAAAGCCTTTTCTCTGTATTCTGATGCTGAATGGCAGCATGGGTACTTTTTTCTTTTTTGCTTTCAAAGTTTATTCTAAACTTTATCCTTTCAGCAAGTAATCTCTGGCAGTATTAGCCAAAAATTTATCTACTAACATCAGAAAATAAAACCAGCTATTAAGGTGCAACTTGGAGTTAAAGAGTTAGCAGCAGCGTTAGTTCCTTCAGGGTCCTCTATTTATATTGGAAATTGTTTCATTCTCACGCAAGACTCTTTAGCCTCCCCCTGTAAAAATGTATAAAGCCAAGGGCAATTTCAGCTTGGGTTAAGAATGGAAAAAAAAAAATCCCATTCCGTAGAACTGACAGCTGAATCAAGGATCTGCTCCTAATACTTTTGGGTTAGGTACCAGGAACTTTTTACCAAATGGTGGCAGCTTGATTGCACATATTTTGTGTGTGTTTTAGGGAGAAGATCCTCAATTTCACAGGGCTTCTAGACTGGGGAAAAGCTGCTGTTTTGCTGACAGCATGGGTACTTTCAATTCTATCTTAAGAAAATCAAACATGAGTGCCTGCACCAGGGGGTCCCTCCCCAGCCCCACCCACCTTCCCCTAGGTTCTCAGTAGGTTATATTACTTCTGAACCCATTTTAACAACAGCCCATTCACCTAGAGATCCGCTCCAATCTGTGAAGTCTCGCACCCGCCAGCCCCACTCTTTTTATACATCTTATGGCAGCTTCCATTTAAAGTGACCATTAATGAGGTGGGAAGGAGTAAGTACTCCCCTCACGAATCATTGCTAATTTTTGAAATTATCGAATTGCATAGGTTTTGAGTAGTTACACAACTATTTTTCCCACATACCCTGCTTCTTTCAAATGCACGATTTTGCTGAACATGAGGTTTTTTTCAGGAACACATATGACATTAGAACAAAAACATTTACCTATTTGTGTGCCAGAGACTAAAAAAGACAAATTCAATTTAGACATTGTCTCTACACTCCAGGAGTATCCTCTAGCGCAGCGGTCCCCAACCTTTTGGCACCAGGTACTGGTGCACCTATGAGACTAATGCCTGATGATCTGAAGTGCAGCTGACGTGATGATGCTAGTGCTGGGAGCAGCTACAAATACAGATGAAGCTTCGCTTGCTCGCCTGCCACACACTTGCTGTGTGGCCCAGTTCATAACAGGCCACGGACCAATACCAGTCCCTGTGGCCCAGGAGTTAGGAACCCCTGCTCTAGGGGATTCTTTACAAATTTTAAGTCCTTAAAAATAGGGCAACCACCACAGTGAGATACCACTTCACACCTACGAGAATTTGGAGAAACTGGAACCCTCATCTACTGCTAGTGGCAATGTAGAATGGTACAACCACTTTGGAAAAAGTCTGGCATTTTTCTCAAGAAGTTAAACATAAGACTTAGCATATAACCTAGCAATTCCAATACATAGGTATATATACTCAAGAGAAAAACATATTTCCGCACAAAAAAATTGTACACTAATGTTCATAGCAGCATTATTCACAATAGCCCCCAAAGTGGCTATTGTGACAACCCAAATGTCCACCAATTGATGAATGGATAAATAAAATGTGGTATATCCATACAACAGAATATCTTTTGGTAATAATAAAAAAAAAACAAAACGAAGTATCTATATATGCCACGAAAACGAATGAACCTTAAAAATATTCTAAGTAAAAAAAGCCAGTCACCAAGACCATATATTAGTTTGATTCTATTTATACGAAGTGTCCAGAATAGGCAAATCTACACAGATAAAAAGATTAGTTGTTACCAGGGGCTGGGGGTAGGGAAGATAGAAGTGACTGCTAATGAGGACTTTTTTTGGGGGTGGGGGCGCGGGGTTTGATGAAATCGTTCTAAAACTGATTGTGGTGATGGTTGCACCACTCATGAATATACTGAAAACTACTAAACTGTACACTTTAAGTAGGTTAATTCTATGGTATATGAGTTATATATCTCAAAACTTACAAAAACAGTAAGTCAATTTTTTCCTTAAAGATAGTAAAAAACTGTTATTTCTATTTAGCCTCACTCAGGTATGTCTCAATTGGTTGAGTACTAGAACAGTTTCTAATAGTCTTATCACCTGACAGTGATTTAAATCCAGGTCCTACATCTTACAGCCAAGCAAGCACATCCCCCATGGACCAATTTTCCTCAAATTCATGGACTATCCTTAGGCCTTATGACCTTTAAGAAAGCTACATAAACAGAAACTGTAAATTTTATTCAAATAAAATGTAAGCATATTATAATTGAAGTAGATGTGAATAACACCTTGAGCTGAGTCTTTTTGGCTAGAATCTGAACAAAGTAAACAAAAAAGAGGAAAAAGAAGCAACCTTTCTTCTTTGATTCTGTAATCATTCCTGTGAGCTAGACAAAGAAATATAAGTTACAAACATTTGTTTTTTAAAATGGGACTCCAACGTTAAGGAGAGAAGATAGCCATTTAATATGTTAAGGATCTCTTCAACAACACAAAATAGAAACTATGCCTATGTTGATTCCACTGTTTTTCTATGAAAATTAAAATATCATATCATAAAAATAAAAACATCGTCCTAAAATCTTCTCACTCCTGAAAGCTATCCACGATGTCCATACTTAAAACCATTTCATTCCCCCTTGTTTCTTGCCCTTACTACTGCTATTGACAAGTCCCCACTAAACCGTGAGCTTTCCCAGGAGTCCATGATCCTTACCTCACTTCCTTCTTAATTCCCGCATAGTGGCAATGGGTCACGTAGAAAAGGGTTCGTTGAATGCAAAGTCGATGTATGTCATATTACATTCTCATTCAAGATTCTCTGGGGTCACATATCTATGGAGGAAGAGATCAACAGCTCCTACATTATCTCTGCATCAGGGAACTACCTGATAATAAAATGCAAGGAAATGACATGCCTCTCAGTAAAAATTCGCTTTTGGCCCAATTTTGTCTTAGGTATTTCTAGGGCCCTGCGTTTATCCCTCTCTCCCATCATATCCTCCATTCCCTTTTAGAGCTCGCAACCGGAGACTCACCAACATGGCCCTAGATTCACCTCAACCTTGGTCTTGTCTCTCCGCTTCGCGTTCTCAGTGTTGGCCTCGTAATAGCGCGATGGCACTGGATTTAAGCCGAGCGGGTGAAAACAGGAAAATAAGCCCGTTACAGCAAAACCCCTCAACCACCCTGGGAAAGAGAGGGAGGAGCAACCAAGTGCTCGTCTTAAGGCCCCTGGCCGTTCCGATTGGCTGCTGCGCACGACGTGGCCTGTGATTGGTCATAGCGTCAAGCGCAGCGTTCAAGGAGAGGAAAAGTGGGAATCCTGCGTCTTAAGAGCCCGCCTTCCCGACAAATAAAGGTCGCAGACGTCTAGCGGGCGGAGCTAAGTTTATCGTGATTCATATCGTCGCGGGAATACTGACAGTGGATCCCCACATAGTAAGAAGATGACCCGAAGTTGCTCGGCAGTGGGCTGCAGCACCCGGGACACCGTGCAGAGCCGCAAGCGCGGCTACTCTTTCCACCAGTGCGTGAGAGCAGCCGTGAAGTTGTCTTAACTCCTAGCACTGCCAAGCCGGCAGTAGGCCAGGGAGGGGTGGGGCCGGCCACGGTGTCGTGGTGTCGACGTGACGTACTTGACGTGCGTTACGTGGGACTGGGGAAGCATGGGGGTAACTTTCAGGGTTAAGGTCGTTCTAGCTTTTTCCTCTCAGTGTTTACCTCCAAATTGCTGATTGTTTCTCAATGCCTCGCGCTTGCCTAATGCCTTTTAACGACAGTTACTCGAAAGGAGTTGTGCTTCCTTTCTGTCTTAACGTAAAGAGACGGGAAGGGAGGGAAGTTTGGGGAAACTGTTGAAGGCGTGCGCTTCCATTGGCGTGAGTGAGTTGCTCATGAGCATAAGTACAAATCTGTTTTCACCAGTACTGTCTGTCATTGCAAGTTGTTCAGTAGTATTAACAGCTGTAGAAGGCTGGTCCTATTCTGGCTGGATCTGGTCATGACAAGGAAGTTCCTTTAGCTCAAGAGGGGGGCAGGTCTTCAGACCAGTGTAATTTGAACGGGCACGTATGGTCCAGACTGGTATATAGGTCATTCAGTTAATGTTAAAGCCACAATGGGAAAGAGAAACGTGGTCAAAACATCCTCCCAGACAAAAAGAAATGTACTTCAAAAAGGGGTAAAGTAATATGAGATATAGTTAAACCATTAACAAAAACTAGTATGAGAACGTGAAAAAGAGCTTTATGGGACAGGTGATATTTAAGTTGGACCTTGAACCATTTCCTGGGTTGGGGTGTGAGGGTGGGAGGAGGATAGCACTTAAATAGGAATAGTATGGAAAAATGTAAAGGGATGGAAAATGTAGATTCAATGTACACGAGTGGAAAAAGTAGCTCGGAAACTTTTTTTTATTTTTTTAATTAAAATGTCAGGTTAAGGAGTTCCAACTATATGTGGTAAGCCTTCTGTAGTCATTGTTTTGTTTTTGGAATAGGGCTGATCCTCCACCTAAACTGTTTTAATTGCATTCTTTCCTTTTTCCTCTGGGTTTTTCTCCCCAATCAATTAGTTTCTGTTCTCTTTTTATCTTCAGCTGCTCTCTACAGATAACTCGCCTCAAGTGAGTGAACATACTTGATTGAATTACAGTACCCCCTCCCCCATCTGAAACTAGAGCATTCTTATGAAATCTCTTATAAACTGAAATGGCATAAAGTGAACAGTATGCCCTGCTTTCAGAAAGTTTACATTCCGCCACATCGCTTTTACGAAAGAGCTGCCTTAGTACCTGTTTTCACTGACTGAAAGAAATCTGGAGGATTTTCGCTTTTGCAAAAAGAAGCCCTTACCACACTAATTTGGTTTTTCGTAAAGCGAAGTGGCTTAATTCAAACTTCAGAACGTGGGAGATACATGTACTTACTTTTTTAAATACAGACACACAAACTCTTGAACTATGTGCTCCTCTACACTACCCAATTACTGTAATTCCCTTTATAATCATGCTCTTCAAAACAGGAACATATACCCACTTCCCTAAATTACATTGACTTTTCAACCTACCGCACCCAGTTACCTGTCAGCACTGCTCTAATAACAAAGGGTCACTGGTAATCTTTCCAAATTTAAGTGAGCGCTTTTAAGTCTCTTGACCTCTTTTTTAATCATATTTACTACTTGAAACTCACTTCCCTTGGCTTTATTGACATACACTCCCTAGTTCTCTTCCTTTTCTCTAATTTCTTCCTTAATTTTTGCTGTCCTGCTTTTCCTGTGCCTTCTACCTACGTTCCTTAAATTGGGACGAATTCATTTATTGCTTTTATTTGTTTTATTGAGGACCAAAGTAAGACCTGCTTAATATAAAAACAAAGATGCATTATAACAATAGTTATTATAATAGTCTGCTATGATTCTTCCATTCTGATTTCTTCCCTATTCATTCCATTTTCCAGGCAATGATTTTTATGAAAATGCATATTTTACCATGCTGATTCCCTGAGGATTTTTGTTTTTTCACGTAAAAGTTCTTAGTTTATTTGTCCTCTCATGATAAATCTATACAGTCAGCACAGATAAAGTCACTCATGAATCTTTACTACTTCTTTTTGCCAGCACCAACATTGGCCTTTGCAGTCTCCCTTACTTACTTCATTCTGTTCTTGTGTTCCTTTCACCGTTTTCTTGAGGTGTATTTTTCTTCATACAGGCCATGTCTTGCAAGTCTATGTTTGGGTTCATTTCTCTTTGTGTAATCCAAGGAATCATAAATCATGTCAAAGCCAGCTGTCTTGCCACCACCAAAATGGATTCTGAATCCAAAAACAAAGATGACATCTGGTGTGGTCTTGTACATTTTGGCTTATTTTTCCCCAATTTCTGACTTAGGTACTGTTGCCTTCTCAGGGTGAAGGATGTCGATAACTATTTGTTTCTCCTGTAGTAGTTTATTAAGCATGGACTTCTTGGTCCAGATAGTTACTGTGTTCATGATGGTAGCCGACCTTCAAGCAGCCAGTAGGGAAAAGATCCCAGAAGGAAGGATTTTAATCCCTTGGGCTCTTCGGTGCCTAATAGAGTCCAGGCTTCTCTATAAAGCCCTCCTACACCTCTCTTCCAACCTGAAAATTACAACATTTCTATTATTGTACATGTGCTCTGAATTAAACACATGTCTTTGTATACATGGGAAGCAATCATCTTTGTCTTCCTGACACCTAGGAAGTTGTAAGGAAGGCAGGAGAGAATAGAGACAGGAAAAGAAGTGAAAATAGGAAAAAGCTAATACGAGAAGGAGAGAATTAGTCAACTTGCCATTGCCTAAAGCTGCCACTCTTTGATCATGGAATTCTCTTCATAAAAAAATTTTTAAGTACATTCCCCTGATATGTGCATAGTGATTTATAAATTACAATTATGAAGTGATGTGCTAATATATATTTTGGAACACACAAAGGATGGGGCAAAATTTATAAAAATAGTTTTAATATTTTCTTCAAATCTCAGTAGGTGAGTGCAGACTCCTGTGGTGGCCACTGATCTGAAGGATGGATCCAAAACTTATTAGTATAGAAGACTCTGTGATGTAGCCTTTAGCTACCTATCTAGTCCCTCTGTAACCACTCCCAGCTACCTCTGCACTCTCCTTTCAACCCTCCAGATTAACTTATTTTTCATTGCTTTATCGGCCAGTAAGTTCTCAAGTAGTTATTTCATATCTCCGTGATTTTGCATCTGCTTGGAGTGGCCATTAGCTGCATGGCAAACTCCTGTTGACACTTCAGCTCTAGCTCCAATGTTCTCTCCTCTGAAGCTTTCCCAGGCATCCTCCAGCACCATCACCAAGTTGTGAGAAGTTGCAAGGACACAGGAAAAGGCTCTGGTTGAAATGCATGAATTAAAATGACTTAAAGGTGTGGAAACTGTTATAAGAATATTGGTGTTCTGTCAAACGCAAATTGGCTAAATGTGAAGTGGGATTGGCAAGTTGAAAATTAAAGTGACTCTTTGATTCATTTTCTTTTTGCTGGTATAAAGAGATTTAGAAATTTATTTCATAACCAAAAGAATATATGTATGATAATTTGGAAGAGTTTTTGCCTGAATTGTAATAAATTCTATTTTTAAACTTTTATTATGAAATGTTTTAAATACACTAGCAAGCACAAAATAATATATAACAAACACCTGTGTACCCATCACTAGGATTAAACAGATGTTAACATTTTCCTAGATTCAGATTTTTGTTTTCTTCAGAAGATAATTAAATGATAGTTAAAACCCTAACCCTCAATCCTTTCTCTCCCTCTCCAGAGATAACCATTGTAGGAGAGGTTTTGTTAGCCACTTTTCTGGAAAAATTTGATGTGTAGGGAGCGAAAGGTAAATTCCTGCCATTATAAAAAGGGCATAGTCAACAGGAAAAAGAAAATGGATTCTGTATTACAGTGTAAACCAATTTGTTGTCGTGTGTATGAGATGGTGATTGGTTTGGGATGATGACTGGGATTTTTCTTCTACAAAGGTGGCTTTAGACTAGAGAGATAGGAATTCCAATTTCAACTATTTACTAGTGGCTGTACTTGGCTCAAGTTTCATCTTTTATAAAAAGATAAAAATCTGTCTTGCAGTGTTTTTTTAATACTAAAACTAAGATTTTAAATTATATATGTCTCTGTGTGTGTATGATAAGGAAAATGCTTTGAAAGTAGTATCTAAATTATTGCCAATTTAATTTTGTCCAAAATTCAAATTAGTCATGCTGGTTAGACTGCAGTATTTCCCAACCATTTTCATGTCATTTTTCACATAGAAAATATTTGTTTAATACTTAGGGCAAACCAACAAAGCTATTTGGGACTGGCTTAATGTAACTACTTCGAGAGTTCCAGGTAGCCTAGGCCACCCAATGGGCTAAAGAGTTTGATAGCAGTGCTCACCAGGCATGCCAGTTGGGAAGCTTTGCGTCAGAGGATCAGGCTAGTAATGTAACTTAGTGGACTAGCCAAATTTTGATGATTCTATGCATGCTTAGCAGCTACACTCAATTTGTGGAAACGCTGCCTCACCAACATATGCCGTTAGTTTAGAAAAGAACCTAGTGAAAAGGTATAGATTTACCTCTCTTTTATTGGAAAAACAACTCCCTATACATTCTGTCTTGATCAAGTAGCATCATCTTCTTGGAACAATTGAAAAGAACTCCTGAGAGTGGAATTAGTTGCTCCTAGGAAAGAACAAACTTTGGATAGTTCTTTACCATTTACAAAGTGTTTTTATTTGTTTGTTTTAATTATTGTTATTTTTATTATGGTGACATTGATTAACAAAATCCAGTAAGTTTCAAATGTACAATTCAACAGTAAGGCATATATATAGATATTGCATTGTGTGTTCGCCGCTCATAGTTTTCTTTCTGTCACCACATATTTGACCCCTTTTACCTCATCTACCTCCCCACTCCTCCCCACCTTCTGGTAACCACTAGTCTATTGTCCATGTCCATGAGTCTCTGTTTGTCCTCTTTGCTTGTTGTTTTTAGGTTTATATCCCACATATAAGTGATATCATGTGGTTTTCAACTTTTTCTCTCTGGCTTATTTCACTTAGCATGATGATCTCAAGGTTCATTCATCCATGTTGTCACAAATAGCAGTATTTCATCTCTTCTTATGGCTGAGTAATATTCTATTGTATATATGTACCACAGCTTCTTTAGCCCATCATCTATCGTAGGACACTTCAGTTGCTTCCATGTCCTGGGCACTGTGAATAATGCTATGAAAATTGGTGTGCAAATATCTTTTCAGATATGGGTTTTCAAGTCTTTGGGGGTAAATACCCAGTAGAGGGATTGCTGGATCATATGGTAGATCAATTCTTAGCTTTTTGAGGAACCTCCATACTGTTTTCCATAGTGGCTGTACCAAATTGCAGTCCCACCAGCAGTGTATGAGGGTTCTTTTTTCTCTGCATCCTCTCCAGCATTTGTTATTACTTGTCCTATTGATTATAGCTATTCTAACAGGTGTGAGATGGTATCTCATTGTGGTTTTGATTTGCATTTTCCTAATAGCTAGTGATGTTGAACATCTTTTCAAATATTTGTTGGCCATTTGTATTTCCTCTAGGGAGAAGTGTCTGTTCAGGTCCTTTGCCCATTTTTTGATTGGATCATTTGTGGGTTTTTTGGGTTTTTTTGTCGTTATTGAGTTGTGTGCGTTCTTTGTATATTTTGGATATTAGGCCCTTATCGGAGGCATTGCTTGCAAATATATTTTCCCATTTGGATGGTTGTCACTTTATCTTGTTGACGGTTTCTTTTGCTAAGTAGAAGCTTTTAGTTTCATATAATCCCATTAATTTATTTTTGCTTTTACTTTCCTTACCTTTGAGGAAATTCATAAAATCCTCTTTAAGTCCTACAAAATGCTTTTGAATACATTTGTATCCTATGCACTCTTACTACAGCCCTATGAAGAGGCTCTAGCATTGAGAGATGTATCTAATACCATATGACTGGTAAAAGATAATTGAGGCTTAAATACAGATTTTCCAATTTAGTGTTTTTTCTCAAGGTGGTTGAGAGAGTATCTCAGAATTATGTTTTCCCATACTGCTATATTATTTCTCTAACAATTAGCCTAGGGAATTAAAATTTTTACCAGTTTCAGTTCTTAACAACTATATGCTTTAAAGCTTAAATTATAATATATAAAAGTCATACAGCTACCTTAGATCTGTCTCCAAGATAAATCAAAGAAGAGGGTGCAGAAAGAGTAGTCTTGTGATTTTCTTTGTATAAATTACACAAGTTTTTTTCCTCACTCATTTCTAAACATCATAATTTGGCTGAGATTGAAAAATAGAAATGGAAGATAATTTTTATATTGAAGGCTAGGAAAAATGGTGACTTTCAAAACAAAATAGGAAATTCGAGTATAGGTAATAAATACTTGTTTTATACTGCTGAGTAACAATTTTCCTTAAAATTCAGTGGGAACATTACCACGCATAATCTCTGAAGAGTTGGGAATTTGGGAGTTGTTATAGGGAGTCTCATAAAATTGCAGTCAAAATGTTAGCCAAGACCACAGTCATCTGAAGGCTTGACTGAGGCTGAAGGATCTTCTTTCAAACAAGCTCACTCACATGTCCTTTGGCTGGAAGCCTCAGTTTCTTGTCTAGTGGGCCTCTCCGTAGGGCTGCTTATGACATAGCAGATAACTTCCCCCAGAGAAGAGGAAGCCTCAGTGCCTTTTATGATCTAGTGTCATCCACTAGATCCACTGTCACTTCTGCTTTTTTTATATTCCTTATGAGCAGATCACTAATTCCCGGCCATACTCACAGGAAGGGAATTAGGCTCCACCGTTGGAAGGAGAAGTACCAAAGAATTTGTGGACATTCTAAAGTCACCTCAGGACAGAAAGACACATATTAAATTTGATCAGATTCTGTTAAATGTAGGCAGTGAAGACAAAATGTGGTAGGATAGTTAATATAAGAATTGCCCCCATACAAATTGAAACAAGATCACTTAAATATTGAACTTTTGGATTAAAAAAAAATTGAAAAATGAAATCAGATTAAGTAAATTAAACATTAACTATACTTAAATGTTTTTATAAAGCAGTTAAATAATAAATAGGTTTCTGTCTGTTGTAGCATTACTATAATATTTTCATGTTAATGGAACTTTAATTTGATTGCTGTAGATTTCCAACTGATACCATACAGCGCTCAAAATGGATCAGGGCTGTTAATCGTGTGGACCCCAGAAGCAAAAAGATTTGGATCCCAGGACCAAGTGCTATGCTATGTTCCAAACATTTTCAGGAAAGTGACTTTGAGTCATATGGGATGAGAAGAAAATTGAAAAAAGGAGCTGTGCCTTCTGTTTCTCTATACAAGGTATTTAAATCTAGGTGTAAACAAAACTAAATTTTATAAAGCCTTTTAAAATCAAGATAGCTCACATTATAGCTAAAATTTGCATAGGTTAAAAAAAACCCTAGATCTTAAAATAAATTTAGTAATTGATTTTAAATGCTTAGAAAATTTGTTTATTTTTAAATCTATAATGTAATAGTAATTTGGCTTTGGAGCTTTTTAAAAAATAAGGTATACAAATGCAAAACATACATCTAGATGTACATAAAGGTTACCAAACTGATCATAAAAATCAACTAGTAGATATAAATGGACTTAGAATTCAGGCTTTTAAATATGAGACAGTTTTCAAAATACTTTGAAATTTTTTTGGCTTCTCTCAATACTGTTATTGATTTTGACCAAAAATGTACCTAATTATTAGTATTGATATAGAGAGACGTATACAGAAATAGAAGACTATGAGTCACCAGTATTGATGTTAACATTTTTACTGTTTCTTTTCATTGTTTTTATTTTATCCTTAGCCACACTCTTGTACATGACTCAGTGATGGTCTGCAATTTGCAATAGTCATCTAACTGTTCTATCTTGCCACTACTCTTACCTTCCTCTTATTCAATAGAGTCTCCTGTTGGCATTGTTTTATCTTATTCTCCTATTCAGAAGCATAGAGTTGGTGTCAAATCCAAATTCATTAATTCCAAGAACTTCCTATTTAACTTATTTGTATATTTCTAACTGCTTTGAACTCTCTTTTTTTGAACCACATATACTTTCCTACTGTATATGTGGTAAATTGACTTGCTTTCATGCTTTTGTGTAAATCAATAATAGTTACTGTTTATTGAGACCTACAACGGTTCAGGCATTGTACTAGGAGATTTACATAAATTATCTTCTTGTATCCTCAAAACAAATGAGATAAGGAATTCTAGAAGTTAAGAGACAGCTAACAAGTGAGGGAGCCGGAATTCGAACCCAGGTCAGTCTTAATTCCAAAGCTCAGGCTTTGTCCACTTGCACTGCTAACTTCCCTATCCTCTCCATTGAGCCTTGTTATTGCTCCTTCAAAGAACTACTCAAAACATACATATGAAACCTCCCCAAATTACCACCTTTCTCTAGTTACTTTAATCATTTCAAAAACTTTCAGTGTCTTGTTACCATTTCTGTATAGGTGCAAAGAAAATAAACCCTGTTTACATTGTCTTTTACATTACACATTAAAAAAAAAATTAGAGGTTATGATTTTTCTTTCTTAACTAACTCTCAACAGCAACCAGGTGAGTGCTTTGCATTTAGTGCTATTTTTATAGATAATTTTCTATTTGATAATTTCTAAAATAACCTTAATTTTTTTATTTCTCTCGTAGGTTCTCCAAGGTGTACACCTTAAAGGTAAAGCAAGACTGAAAATCCTAAAAGAGCCACTTCCTGATGATTCTGAAGAGGTTACTACTGAGGATCATAACTACAGTTTAAGGAGACCTTTGACAATAGGTACAGAGAAACTGGCTGAGGTGCAAGAGATGCTACCAGTGTCCAAAAAGGGACTTGTTCCAGTAAAAAACTACAGGATGATCAAAAAGAGAAAGGGCTTACAATTAATTGATACACTGGTGGAAGAGAAACTACTTTCTGAAGAAACAGAGTGTCTGCTACGAGCACAATTTTCAGGTATGTTCTCATCACCTCTAATATTTACAAAATAGCTCTTAATTTTTCTGAACCATCATTAAGTACTATTTTGCTGTTGCCTATACAAACAGGCTTTTGGTTGAGAAGTGAAAAGTCTTGTTAGAGTAAACAAGAATGAAATGTAATCACCAAAATCCTTTTATGGTTTTCCAGTTTTGAGAGTAATATGTTTATTATAGGAAAAGCAAAGAAATATATAAATGATAAAAATAATACATAGTCCTACTACCCAGAGATCAGATTATATGGTTTATACAATATACTGTACTTTTCACTTTTATAGGAGCACTTAACCTATGTTACTATAAATTTTTTATAAATGATTTTAACTGCTACATAATTGATCACTAAAGTCTTTTTACAACAGAGTTGAACTAGATAATTGCAAAATCCCTTTGAACTTGAAAATTTTTTGCATCTCCAAGTTTTTTTCCTAAAATATTCCAGAGAGAGAGAGAGAGACTGTGTGTGTGTGGCCATTGAAAAACTACCTAGTCTTCTTTGTGAACCAGGATGTTTGAAGAGGGGCAAAATAAGAATTGCCAACTTACTCTTTGATGAAAGAAGCAGAGATTTTTGGATTTACATTCTGGTAAATAAGCATGTCCTGTTTCTAGAAAGAGTAGGTGTCTCCAAAGGAAGAGAATATTTTGTGTTTTTCCAAGAAAAGAATAGAAATAATAATATGGGTCCCCACCAGGAACAGAGGATTTTTTTTCTCTCAGCGGTAGGCAAGATTTTCTGTTCAATCAGAATAGTGCACTATCTCCAGAAATGTTTCTCATGTCTAATTTTCACCCTCAGATAAATGGTAGCCAGGGAACAAAATAAATATCTCCATAATCAAGAGACTAATTTTATCCAGTTATTTCATTTTCTTTTCTGTTTCTCTAAAAATGTATACTCAGGCTGCCAGTGAATAGTAAAACATAATAATTCAAGTTGAAATTTTTTCTTCCCTCTTTCTAGTGAAATGATCCAAAATGAACAGGATACATTTTATGGTCAACAGGCTCAAAGATTGGATCTTAATTTCAGAACAAACTCAGTTAAAAAGAGATTGTATTTGAATTTTGGCATCTAGTGCAGTTTATATTCAAATGCTATGATCTATACCTGAATATGTTAACTGTACACATTTTTCATCACTAAGAATAAATTTGTTTTAACAGATTTTAAGTGGGAATTGTATAACTGGACAGAAACATCTGAGTACTCTACAGAAATGAAACAATTTGCATGTACACTCTACTTGTGCAGTAGCAATGTCTATGATTATGTAAGAAAGATTCTTAAGCTGCCTCATTCTTCCATCCTCAGAACGTAAGTGAATTACGTTTTAGATGTTAAATAAAAAAAAATTTCTTTTATTGCATTTTAGACATTATAATTCATACTCAGTCCATTTTCTCTTTGTAAAAACTTGTAGGTGGTATTTGCATATTACCACAATTGATAATTTCGCCAACAAAATGAAGACATATAGTCTGACAAATTTTTCGCGTCTTCTAAATGGTAGAGACATATTGGGTGATAAAAATTTGAATCTTAAATATCGGAATTTCTAATACACTTAGTAGTTTTAATGTCTGATTATCTTGGAAAATCTAGAACACTGCTAGATCAATACCATCGGTTTGAGGCAGTGCACAAAAATATGAATTTTTTGTAAGCACTGTAGTTGATGGCAGAGCAGGTTTTTCAGAGACCAGATTATGATAAATAAATTTTTAGGATTGTGGTCAAAATACATAGATATATTTATAATTCTCTTAGTAGGAAGCAAATAACAGGATGGCTTTATAGTAATGTCTTACAAATTTAATACTCAGCTTTTACTGTTTTTTTTATTATTGGTTTTATAGATTCCTTTTTACTCACTTTTACTTGTTTATTTGGCTTAAACAACAAAAATTTACTTTCTCATAGTTCTGGAGACGAGAAGTCCAAAATCAAGGTGTTGACCAAGTTATTTCCTTCCGCAGGCTGTGAGTGAAGGGTCTGTTCCAGGCCCCTCTCCCTGGCTTGTACATGGTGGTCTTCTCCCTGTGTTTCTTCACGTCATCTTGCACTATGCATGTGTGTTTCTGTGTCCAAATTTCCTCTTTATGCGGACACCAGTCGTGTTGGATTAGGATTCATGTTAGTGCCTTCGTTTTAACTTGATGACTTCTGTAAAGACCCTGTCTCCAAACAAGGTCACATTCTGAGGTACTGGGGGTTGGACTACAATATATCCTTTTTGAGGAACATAATTCAACCCCTTCCAGTCACTTTTCCTGCTGCATAAGCCTCCCACTACTCGGGGACTAAAGGCCAACTCCCTACTGTAGCTTACTGAGCTTCCCATGATGTGGCTTCTGCTGGGCCCTGCAGCTGATCTCTTGTCCCTTCCCTCTTGGATTCCATGCTCCAATTGTAAGGCATTTCTTGCTTCTTTTTGCTTTAGGGACTTACTCCTCTATCTGCCTAAAATGCCCATTCTCCCTATCTGTTAGTCCTGGTGATTAGTCTCCACATTTCAGGCTCACATTAGATTTCTCATCCTTTTGGAAGCCTGACCTGCCATTCTTGCACCAATTCTGGATTAGGTGCCCATCTTGCATTCACAGTATGGAGCTGAATCTTAGTACTTATAACACTGCCTACCCCACTAGACTGTGAGCTGCCCACGTATGAGGCCTGTGTCTGGTTCTTTATTATGCACACACATCCTGACCCCTGAGTGGTGCCTGGAACACAATAGTCCCTTGATAATATTTGTGGAATTGAAAGAATTCTTGGATGGTCATTTAGGATTTTGAACAGATATAAAGAAGAAATGCAGTGGACTCGAAGTTGCTGTCTCATTAGCAGCACTGCACGAGCATTTGAGACCTTACTCCCTGGCATATGTTGTCAGTTTGGCTCAAAAAAACCTTATAAAAATTCAAAAAATAAAAAGCAGCACTCTATTTAATTCACTGGAGTTGGGGCAGAGACCAGCCAGGAATGGCAGGAGCCATCTCTCCTGGAAGGTGCCTCTTGGTTTCTTATTGCTTCAGCTTTAAAACAGATTCATAGGGGCTCAAAGCTGGAGAAACTCTTAGAGATCATGGAGTCCAACCCCCTCATTTTATAGAATGGAGAAATTGAGGCCCGGTATGAGGAAGGACCTTAATTATCATGACTTTTCTTTTCCATTTTTGGGAAAACATCTTTAAAAAAATTGAGATGTAATTGACATATAACATTAGTGTATACAACATTTATTCAGTATTTGTATATACTGTAAAATGATCACCACAATAATTCTAGATAATATCCATCACATATGGTTTTTTCCTTCTGATAAAAACTTTTAAGATCTTAGCAACTTTCAAATAAACAATATAGTATTATTAACTATAGTCACCATGCTGTACATTATATTCTCTAAAAAAAGAATGAGATTTTTCCTCCACACTATTAAAACACTGCTACTAATAAAAAATTTAGAAATGAGAGAAAAGAAAGGAAAATTCATTAATTGTTCTTCTACATTATATATGTAAACAATTATTATTAACATTTAGAGAATTTTCTTTCAGGCATTGTTATCTGTGGTTAGATTTACTAGTTTTTTACATGGTTGTGATCTTTAATAATATCAGAGTTTTACCCCATTAACTCGGGTATTCTCCAACTGCTGGACATCTACATTGTTTCCATTTTTTGGTTGTAATTGCTGTTTTTCATATTGAGATGAACATTTGCGTATAGGCTTATTCACTCTCTTTCATGATATGATTTTACCATTTAGGCTAGATACTATACATATTTATAAATATTTACTTTCTGCTATGCTAGAGACATTTTCGTAGACGCTGTGTTAATTCCTCCTCCTATACCTTTTTTAGTCAAGTCCTCTGCAATGGTTTTAAAACATACTGGTTTTCCTCTATGGTTTATATGAGACGTTCTCTCAGTGACACACACACACACGTGTATATATATTTACACACACATACACATATGGCATGTAGTGAGAGTAAATTCTGTTTATGAAAATTCTAGTTTGCAGCAGAATATTTGGAAAGCCCTGTCCTGAAATACTTAGGAAAGTACATTAAAATTTCAATTAAATAGACGTCAGCTGTTCAGGAAGAAACCTTGGCAACCTAGAATATAGCCCCCAAATCAGAAATTTAACCCCCAAAAGTCATTGAATTACAAAAGTACATTTCAGTTAAGATGAGCACCTCAGTCTCTACCTCAGAATCCATTTAGTCTTACTGTAGAAATTTATTAAACTTGGCTGTTTCCTTTCGTGACCTACAACAAACTAGGAAGAATAAATTAGAACCAAGTCAGAAGAATTCTGAAGACAGACAGCGATAGTAATAGAAAAGAATAATCAGCAGTCTGGAAGGTCAGGGATACTATATAAGGACTCCAAAGATAGTAGTGAGGGTACTTTGTGTAGGAGCAAACAGATGCAGACACCTAAATTACCATAGGGCATACTTTTGAAGCTGTAAGGAGCAGTGAGAAAAGCTCTGAATAGGACATCAGCAAAGCTGGGTTTTGCATTTGTGTATAACTAGCAGCACAATATAGGCCAAGTGGTTTAACCACTCTGTACCAGTTTCCTGACTTTAACATAAGATAGATGTACTAAATGTTCCCAAAGTTTTTTTCTTTCAACAATTTTCTCATTTCAGTGAATTTATAGGTAAGACTGGTTTATGATCTAAATTATAAACATCATTTAGAACAAACTGGGTAATTGATTTGTATACTTTTAAAAGAAATGAGAAAATTGATTTTGTGGTATGTTTCTAAGTTTCTTACTATTTTATGGTAACTGAATATTTGCTTGAAAATGTCTGTAGAATTTGGCTACTTATATTTGGCTTTATTACAGGAATTAGAGTCTACTTTAGTGCCATTTAAGGCATTTTCCACTTTTTAAATTTCTTCATTTGAGTTTTATATTTTTCATTTTTTTACATTTTCTAGGTGGTTATCCAAATGCAAATCAAGTCCAGGTTTCAACAGCAACATTTTTTCTTTACTTCAACAAAGAGTAGAGAATGGAGACCAGCTGTATCAGTATTGTTCACTGATAATAAAAGGCATATCTCTCAAACAACAACTTCAGTGGGACCCCAGCAGTCACCATTTGCAAGGGTTTATGGACTTTGGTCTTGGCAAACTTGATGCTGATGAAATGCCACTTGCCTCAGAAACTATTTTGTTAATGGCAGTAGGTATTTATGGTCATTGGAGAACACCTCTTGGTTATTTTTTTGTAAACAGGGCATCTGGATATTTGCAAGCTCAGTTGCTTCGTCTGGCTATTGGCAAACTGAGTGACATAGGGATCACAGTTGTGGCTGTTACGTCTGATGCTACAGCTCAAAGTGTTCAGATGGCAAAAGCATTGGGGATAAATATTGATGAAGACAACATGAAATGTACATTTCAGCATCCTTCATCTTCTAGTCAGCAGATTGCATACTTCTTTGATTCTTGCCACTTGCTTAAATTAATAAGAAATGCATTTCAGAATTTTCAAAGTATTCAATTTATTAATGGCATAGCACATTGGCAGCATCTTGTGGACTTAGTAGCACTAGAGGAACAAGAATTATCAAATATGGAAAGAATCCCAAGAAAACTTGCAAATTTGAAAAACCACGTACTGAAAATGAATTGTGCTGCCCAACTCTTCAGTGAGAGTGTGGCCAGTGCATTAGAATGTTTACTATCATTAGGCTTGCCTCCTTTTCAAAACTGCATTGGTACCATCCATTTTGTACGCTTAATTAATAATCTATTTGACATTTTTAATAGTAGAAACTATTATGGAAAGGGACATAAAGGACCTTTAATGCCTGAAACTTTCAGTAAAATTAATCACGTGTTAATTGAAGCCAAAACTATTTTTGTTACATTATGTGACACTAGCAATAATCAAATTATTAAAGGTAAGCGAAAATTAGGATTCCTGGGATTTTTGCTTAATGCTGAGAGCTTAAAATGGCTCTACCAAAATTATGTTTTCCCAAAGGTAATGCCTTTTCCATATCTTCTGACTTACAAATTCAGTCAAGACCATCTGGAATTATTTCTAAAGATGCTTAGACAGATATTAGCAACCAGTTCTAACCCTACTTGTATGGCATTCCAGAAAGCTTACCATAATTTGGAGACCAGATACAGATTACAAGATGAAGTTTTTCTAAGTGAACTAAGCATCCTTGACATTTCAATTGCTCGAAGGACAGACTTGGCCCTTTGGACAGTTCAACGTCAGTATGGTGTCAGCATTATAAAGACTCTTTTTCACAAAGAGGATATTTGCCAAGACTCATCTAATTGTTCATTAAGTGAGGCATTACTAGACCTGTCAGATCATAGGCAAAATCTCAGCTGTTGTGCTGGTTATATTGCAGATAAGTTATCATCTCTTTTAACTTGTGAGGATTGCATCAGTGCACTGTATGCATCGGATCACAAAGCCTCTAAAATTGGGTCACTGTTATGTGTTAAAAAGAAGAATGGTTTGCATATCCCTTCAGAAAGCTTATGTCAAGTCATAAATATTTGTGAGCGAGTTGTAAGAGTCCATTCGAGAGTGGCAGTTTATGAACAACTTCCTAAATGGAGGGAATTTTATCTTCAACAGAAAATACTATGTGAGCTTTCTAGTTATATTGATCTTTTTGTAGATTTAGATGAGCATCTCTTTGATGGAGAAGTGTGTGCCATCAATCACTTTGTAAAGTTACTAAAGGATATAATAATCTGTTTCTTAAAGTTCAGAACTAAAGATGTAGCTCATTTCCCTTTAAAACACCATTCAGAAAGAATTGAAATGAAAACTTTGTCAAGGAAATACTGGTTATCTTTACAGGATTACAGATGTTCAGGTTTTGCTAATACCAATAAATTCAGGCATCTGCTATGTAACGATGGCTACCCATTCAAATGAGGTACCTAAAATATATTAAAACTTATATTAAGAACATTTATTTTAAAGTTCAAGTTAGGACCATATGTTATAAATAGACCATTCTGCACAATGAACAAGTTGGCATTTCTGACTTACTAGAATTTGTAATTTACATATTTTAAAATCGTTTTGAACTTTGGTATGGCTTATAGCATTACATCGTTAACCAAACTAGACAAAGAAGTCAGTAAAAGCAGGTACTGTCTTTGAATTTACTGAGACTGAATAATGTATCTGGACATACTGTTAACTTGTTCAACCTACTTTAAAAACAAGAGAGAATAACAACTAGGAGTCACCAAAACATTGACTCCTTTTATAAACATACTACATTCCCTATAAGAACTCTTTGATTTACAGCTCTTAAGAATGTTGACAGAATACCTATAAAACCTTGAATATACTTTAAAATATCAAATACCACAAAAATCTCTTTGCCAGGGTACCCTAAAGTAGATACTTATGCATTATCAGACATAAGGTAAACACATGAGCCACGAGATGGTTTCTTGTGCTGCAACTACACTGGGGGATGTTGTCTGGGAAGTACACAGGTGATGTAATTTTCACAATCCATTGTCTCTGGACTTCAAAATACTACTTTAAATAATAGAATGCATACTTACTTGACTCCTGTCAGAAGAGCCCAGTGCTCATTAGTGAATGAATAACAGAATTTCATGTGAGTAATAAATTGAAAAAAGATGATCAATTGAGACAATATATATGAAAAAAAAAATCAGTTTTAATTATATAATGAGTCTTTTCAGAAACTTAGGAGCTTAATCTACAGATGGAAACATAAGGGCAATTTTCTCCGTTCTCACATCCCCATATTTGAAAAGAAAAAAAAAAAAACCCATAGGTATACGTACTTTCACAAATGGGACTATTTTAATGGATAAAAGAAACAAGCACATATTCACCTGTGTATGTAAACACTTTTTTTGTCGTTGAGTGAATGTTCACATAGTTGATATGAAAACTGAAAATTGCAAAAGATTTAACAACTGGGTAAAGTTTTTCATTAGTTGAAATTCACTCTAAATAGCATATTTTGATATATTTCTATTCTACCTCAAATGAAGGCTTGTTTTGAAATGTAACTAGAGTTGTACCACTTTTTATACAAGAGCTATTGCTGAGAAGTCTGAATATTGTGGTTTTTATTTTGTTTGCAGTAGAATGACTTTAGATGCACCAAGATAAATCTTTAAGGAAGCCTCTTTTTAAATCACCACCTTTAACTTGTTTCTATACATCCAAGTTTTATACTTGATCTTTACTTAAAACTAGATTTGTATCTGTATTGTCTTATGTTCTTTGTTGTTACATTTGACTAGTATATTCCGTATTTTAAAAATTAGTGTTTTGCATTGCTCAAGTGCTAGATAAATTGGACATTAGAGATATTTCCATTACTGCCCTCAGCACAGTTAATTGCTCTTGCCCTTGTGAAAGTGTTCCAAGTCTGATATCAGACTTACTTGATATAATATGCTTACAGTGAAAACTTTTTTATATTTATGTATATTTGATAAGGGTAATTTAGTTTATAGATTTTACTCTTCACCTTTGTCCTTTTTTTCTTTGGAGAAAACTAACATTCTCTTCAGAAATTTATCCTTCCTACTCTTCAACAAATAGTACTGGAACAACTGGGTAGCCATATGCAAAAGTATTAACTCTAAATGGATCAGAAACCCAGATGTGTAAGAGGTAAAACTATAAAACTTTTAGAAGAGAGTAAATCTTTGAAACTTAAGATTAGGTGATCGTTCCTTAGATGTGACACAAAAAGCACAAGCACCAAAAAATAAATTGGACTTCATCAAAATTAAAAACTTGTGCTTCAAAGAATACCATCAAGAAAACGCACAGAATGGGAGAAAATTTTTACAGATCATATTACCTGACAAAGGACTTGTATCTAGACTGTAAAGAACTTCTGAAACTCAACAATCAACCCAGTTTTAAAAATGAGTAAAGACTGAGTAGATACTTCAAAGGAGATACACAAAGGGCCTATAAACATATGAATATGTGTTCAACATCATTAGTCATCTGGGAAATGCAAATCAAAACTACAGTGAGATGGCACTTCACACCCACTAGGGTGGCTATAATAAAAAAAAAGACCTAACAAGCATTGGCAAGAATGTGGAGAAATTGGAACCCTGGTAAGCTGTTGCTGGGAATGCGGTCACTTTGCAAAACAGCCTGGCAGTTCTTCAAAAGGTAAGTGAAAGAGTTACCATATGACCCAGCAATTCTGACAGGCATATGCCCAAGAGAAATGAAAGTACATGTAAAAACTTGTACACAGATTTCATAGCAGCATTATAATAGCTAAAAAGACTAAATGTCCAGCTGATGAATTAAAAAGTGCTGTATCCATATAATGGGTCATATGGTAAGTGTTTTACTTGATAATGAACTGCCAGAATTGTTTTTTGCAGTGTACCACTCTACATTTCAACCAGGAATGCTTGAAAATTCCAGTTGCTCTACTTCATCCCCAGAACTTGGTATTGTTAGGGTTTTGTTTTGAATTAGCCATTCTAAAAGGTGTGCAGTGATATTTCATTGTGGATTTTATTTTCCTGATAGCTAATAATGAGGAATATCTTTTCATAGGCTTAATTTGCCATCCACATAATCTTAAGTGAAATGTCTTTTCAAGTCATTTGCCCATATTTTGGAGGGTTGGTTTTTTCTTGAACATTATTTTATATTCTAGACATAAATGCATTATCAGATATTTTGCAAATATTTTCTCCTAGTCTGTGCTTTGAAGAGCAGACATTATTTTGATAAATCCAGTTTATCTATTTTTTAGGGATTATACTCCTTAGTTTTATATCTAAGAAATCTTGCCTAACTCATGGTTGGAGATTTTTTTGCTGTTTTTTCTTCTAGGTATTTTGTAGTTATAGGTTTTACATTTGGCTATGATCCATTTTCTGTTAATTTTGGTGTGATAAGTTGTTCATGTTTTTACATATGGCTATCCTAGCACCATTCGTTAAAAAAAACTATTCTTTCTCCAGTGACCTTTGAATCCTTGTCAAAAATTGACTACATCTATATCAGTCTATTTCCGGGGTCTCTGTTCTGTTCCATTGATCCAAGGGTGTAACGTTCACCAGCCAGTACCAACCAGTGTCTTGATTAGCCTTGAAATCAGTTGGGAGTCCTCCAAATTTTTTTCAAAAATGTTTGGCTATTTTAATTGTACCTTGTACATATTTTTGTTACATTTGATGGTGGTACTAACATTCATATGATGTTAGCTGTAGACTTTTTGTAGAAGCTTCTTATCAGGTTGAGGATTCCTGCTATTTCCAGTTATGTTTTTTTTTTTTTTAAATGATAAATGGGTGTTGAATTTTGTCAGATGATTTTTCTATACGTCTTTTGGGGGGAGAAATTTTTTGAGATATAATAATTTACATACCATTATATTCACCCTTAAAAAAATACAATTCAGTGGTTTTTAGCATATCCAAAAGGTGGATTTCTGCAGCTTTTGAGATGTTCACATAGTTTTTCTTCTTTTGTATGTTGATACATAACATTTTTTGTTTTTGAATGTTAGATCAACCTTTTATTCCTGGGATAAACCCACCCTGGTCATGATGTATTGTTTTTATATATTGCCAGATTTTATTTGCTAATAAAATTACAGTTACATTAAAGTCTGTGACCTTATATAAATAAACATTACCCTGGATATTATTTTCTTACTGCTTTTGAGTAAAACCCAAAAATGCCTTAAGTGCTTTCATAAAACAAAAGTAAAATTTTAATTTCCATAGTTTAAAAAATTTTTTTAACTTTCTAACTTACATTTAATAAAACCGCCTGGATCATAAAAGACTCACATTTGGTCTAGAGATAATGACAAAATGAGCATTAAAGAAGTCCTAACTAAAAAGAAAAAAAAAGACCTACATAATTTACATAATACTACATAACAATAAAAGTAACTACGAAAGGCTTTCTAGTTGATTGGCTTTCTTTTCCTTGGGTTGCTGCTACAAAATCACTACATAAAATGCTTAAGGGATTCAAAACGATCACAGGTAGGGCAAGAGGGGTTCTAGTATGAAATTGCATTTACATAAGTATTCATTTTCTTAGCTATTAGTGTTACAAAACAAAAATAGAAGACTTTTCTAAAGGTATTTTTATTCACATTTTTACATAAGAATTGAGAAAATGTCACTTGTCCATATCAAAGTATGAGGAAGCTAAAGCAGTAGTCTCTTCAAAGTTGCTGTTCTAAGTGTTTTATTACCTGTAACATTAAGGTTCTGGCTCCCATAAGATCCAAAGCCAAGACCTGTAAGTTGCTTTTAGTTTGAGAGAAAAGGAAACTCAGAAGGGTGCTCATCATAAACATCAAACATTATAAAAAAGGAAAGAGTAGATTTTTCTGCCCTTAAACAGTGGCAGGGGGCTGGGGCTGGGGTGGGTGGAGGAAGATCTTGTTTCAAAGCAATTTATGTTAATGATAATTGGGTAAAAAGATGGGTTTATCTGTGTGCTTTCAGAAGTAATGTTAATTTACTTAAAATCAAGTATTTTAAAGGTTTCTTGCATGTTAAATGGCTAAAAGTGTTATTAAAAAAAAGTGCAAAACCCTTTTTTATAGAATAGTATAAATGTTTATTTTTTGTATGATTTACTTTGCTGTCCTGTTTTTACAATATAGAAAAGTGTATTCTTTGAATAGCTCTAGTAAATATAAATTTAATCTTTCTACTTTGGGATGTAAATAGAGCTAAAAAATTATATACCCAACCCCCCAATAGTCTTTTAAAATTGTTGAATTAATGTGGATATTAATCTTGTTCAGCAATTTGATGCAAATGCCTAAATACAAAAAGTTGTTTAGTAAGTACTACACACAAAGGAAAAGGCTTAATACTTTAGCTTCTTGAAAATCAAAAAACCTAGTAGCATTTGATTGCACCTTCAAATTTTTACAAGCAAAACATTCTCAAGCAATGCCGTTATACATAATCTATAATTGTAATCCAAATTTCACAAACATTTTCTGCACACTGTATATAAATACACATCACAAAGGTGCAATTAGAATTAAACACAGAATATGTACAAAATGAACAGAGTTTAGGTTTAGACCAAAAAGGTATTGTAATCTTTTGAAAAATAACTTGATTAGATATTATTTTATCCTCTTACACTAATTTACATTTATACAAATTTTAATTAAACATACTAGACTGAGGTGCTAAGAATACACTATCTACATTTAAAGTGTACTGCACTATAATTTTATAAATCCAAATTTCAAAAGGAAGATACTTTAATAACGGAATCTTCTTTTGGATTCATTTCTATTGCCTATATCTTGCATGTTCATATGAACATATATACACACTTAGTACATACAACTATAGATTCCTTGTAGGAAATGTAATAATCACATACTAATAATTACTGAGGATTATGGTACCTAACAAAATGCCTGAATTCCAACATGGTTTTCTCTTGTCATAAAATCTAGCATCCTATTATAACAGGCTCTTAAATTCATAAAGCTTTTGAATTTCTCAAAATGATTTAGGTTATTTCAGTATTACATGAAAACACTCATATTTTGAGCTTACCAAATCACTGGCTAAAAATAATGCCGTATTAAGGTTCCCTTATAAAAAACATCCCACTACATTTTGAAAACTTTGCTAGGAGGCCCATTTCAGTAAATCAAGTAAATCATATATTGGTTTGAAACCTCTCGGTTCAAAGTCTATAAAGAGAACTATTTGTATAGATGAAGAATCCTTCCCTAAATTCATCTCTTAAGAGTTCCAATAGTATTTCTCCATCCAAGCCAAATTTGACACCTGATAATTATATAAGTTTCTATTTTATCACTACATAATGTTTACTTATATTTATACGCACCTTTCATTTTAATAGTGCCCAGTAATCACACTGACAATTTATTATCATTTCAAATACATACCACTTCCTTGAAAGAAAATGGAAACATCCCAGAGCGTTTCTTAATCACTCATTATAAAAACACATTGCCCATCTTTTGAGAATTATTTACTATCCTTTAATGCTTTAAAAAAAAAAAAAAAAAACAAACAAACTTTATTTTAAATGTGTGCCTACTGATTTCTTCCTCTTCTGACATTCCCAAAGTGATAACAGGATGTTATTCCAGAATCTGCCTTAAAAAGTTGATTTTTCTTAAAAAGATAGTGCTTTTCTAAACACGAAATATCATTTGAATTTGTTTCATAAGAATTTGTTTATGTAGACATTCTCTCTGCTTATTATATTCTAGGTCTAGTACCAAAGAATGACTGGGTAATACCAATGCTTCTTTGGCTTTTTCTACTGAACAAAGTCATACAACGCCATACGTTATAAATTATAGTAATTTATAAATGTTCTTTGTCAATAGAGTCAGAAGGACAGAATATCTAATTCTTAAACCCAAGCAAATTAAAAATCTATATAATACAATAAAGAAAAATTCAATTTAGAAGGGGCATAAGCAAACTTAACTAAGGTTTAAAATATACTAATTTCCTCATTTAAAATTTCTTCTTTCAATATTATAATTCCAGGTCTCACAAGAACTGAAGTAAAAATACAATAATTGTTAAACTATCTTTCAGAAAATCAAGTGTCCCTGCACCTTAAATTTTCTGTACAGTTCCATTTATCATTCTTTTGTGCAAGAATTAGCAATTCATGGCACAAGGGTCACTTTTTGCTTTTCCTGCAGAGTTGATGACGCTCATCAAACATCGTCCGAATTCCTCAAGTATCATCCGTTCAGCTGCTGCTTTTGATTTTCCCTTCTTGTCTGCCTGCTCTGCCTGGGCAAGAAGGCAATTACACGTGGCTTCAGCTACTTCCTTAGTTACAAATGTAAATGGCAATCTGAAATGATTTTTGAGAAAGAGAGATGATGATGGTGTTGAATTACTACGAAGTGGATGGCATTCTTTCATTTGGAAATTTCTATTGACATTTTCATGATTCATCAACACAATGAGCATCACAATCTGGGCAGTGAGCACAAGCACATCCTGAAGAACTTTAAAAAGTTAAAACTGCTTTTATGATTGAGTATACTTCTTAAATATTGTTCAGAAAGTATAACATTCTACATAAAATATGTCTTACCTAGACAAAGTTATCTAGTTAACTAAAAGATGTAATTCTACATGACTGGATATTTCTATAACAAAAGTCCTCCCAATTCATGAATATAATAAGCTCCATGAGTGCAATTGTTTTATTTACTGCTGTGTCTTTTCACTGCCTAGAACAGTGCCTGACATACAGACACTCCATGAATATCTGCTGAATAATACTGGGAATTGAAAGCATTGTCTCCTGGACCACACTGAAAATAAAGCACTTTCCTATAGTCCCATGTATTTTGGGAGGAAAAAAAACACACCAAAATTTTGCACTGTTTTATCACAACAAACAAAATGGGGAAACCAAAGACTATTCTTTACATGGAGTTTCATTCATTCATAAAGATCTGAAGTATTTATTATTAAATTAGAGCAATCCATCTTAAGGCTTGCTGTATGCAGCCAATGTTAAAAGCCTTCAAGAACGGAATCAGGCAACCTAACTCTCACCACTAACTCAACAACTGGTAAGCGGTCACTGATAGAAGGAAACTAAAACAAAAATATATGAAGTCTTTAATGCCTGCCATGACAAGAGAGGGTAGTTAAGGATTTAGGCTACTATACAGTTGAACAGAAATCTTTAAAATACAAAAAACATTTTAAATTAGAAAATATAATTAAAATATTATAATTAATAATACTGTATAATAGTGCTTATTATACAATATTTAGAAACTAGAAAGGTAAAAGGAAAAAAATTCAAATTTTGCCATTCAAAGACAAAAGTTACATGCAGGTATAACTTTTAATATAGTTTTTCTTTTATATAGTTTTGATTACAGTATGTAATTTTGTATTCTTATAAATACAAACATTTCCCCATGAAAAGTAATTATAAAATTAACTAAGAAGTATAAAAATTTGGCTTTCTTACGGGTTCTTCAAATTATTTAATTGCTCATCTTAGTAGGGAGAAATCGATGAAAGCAGTGAACTAAAGCATTACTGTGCATTTTAGAACTCTGTGATATATCTGACAGACATTTTTCTGTTACCTTTAAATTCCTTTACAACAAGTAACTAAAGGTAAAAAGAAAATACAGAAATCAGGTTTGCAAGAACCAAAAGTATGAACTCAATTTTGTCCAAAAAGAGAAACTTTACCAACAATGAATATTCATGTCATAATATAAGAGATTAAAACATTGACTTACTTTCCCCCTCCGCTATTCAAAGCTGGTGTTGGCCTAGTAAGCAAGTCCGAAATTTGAGAGGATAACTTAGTCTTTGCTGCCGTTTGTTGCTGTACCCTTACTTCGGCTGCATCTGCCAAGTGCATTAATGTCTTTCTTTCCGGGCTTTCTTCAAAATTCTTACAGCCAATACATTTGCATATTGAGGAACACATTATTTTTGCCTAAAAAATTTGCAAAAGAAAAGCTTCCAAATCAAACCCAAAAATCATTATTATTGGTATACTCCATGATCAAATCAACAGATAATAGAATTAACTGATCAACTGACATAAGATCAAATGGAAACATCTCTTGCTGACAAACACTAGAGGGATTAACTACCCATGTGGATAGGTAGGTATTCTTAAGTCTGAGAGCGGCTATATAATGCTTGTGTTTTAGCCCTCCCATGTTAATTTTTCCTCCACTATATATTTTCCTCCTGGTATGTATAACGTATATTCTTTACAAAGAAGATGAATAATAAGTTACAATATTAAAAAAAAGGGTCGCCCAGAATTGAACCATCCTCTGTCAAATCATCAATATTTTAGTTATTTATGAGAAGCATAGATCTTAGGTACATATACATTTATTAACTAACAAATACAAGTCTTTGTGTGTGTGTTTATAAAATCATATTCCCACTTTTCTGCATTTTCCTTTACTCACACTAAGGCTCAAAGAATCCATCCCTCTAAATCATCTGGCATAGGTTAAATTCATTCTATTTAATGGCTGGAAATTAATCCCTGGTATGGATGGGCTACATTTTATTTGGGTATTCACTTCTCTGATGGGCATTTATTTTGTTTCCAGTTCTTGAGTATCATAAGCAATGCATAAAAAGATTTTTTGTATATATTAAGCTTTTATTTCTATGAGCTAGATTTCTAGAATTTGGCTCGCTGGTCTAAGGGGACATATATTTTAATTTTAATAGAGGCAGTCAGATGTTTTTTTCAAAAGGCTATATAACATCTCACATCTCATCAGCAATGTATTAAGGAAGCCTTTCCTACATTCCATCAAGATGTATTATAGCTCTTTTTAATATTTACCAATCTGATTGGGAGAAAGCCCTAAAGTGAGATCTCATTGTTCTTTAATTTACACTTTCCAGATTTCTAGTAAATCTGAGTTTATTTTGTTGGCTGCATTTTCTTCAGCAAATTCATGTCAATTTAAATAATTTCTCTCTACAGCATCTAGCAAGATAAACTGATCATATTATGAACACATTTTACCTAATAAATTGTTTACCAATGGAAAAAAAATGGAGGTACATTTTGAGTTAACAGTGTTACTATCTGCCAGTCTAGAACTCCTTAACTAAAGCAACACTTAAGTATCTAATGATGAAGAGATAAAAATCCCTGGGGTGGGTGGGGAGGAATTACATTACCAATAATTAAAATTTGGATTAAGTTTTTTAGAAAGGTACGAATAATGCCTAATAGTAACTCATGGGAGAAATTAAAATGACAAGGCATCCATTTGGCTTTACAATTCAACTTTTGTGGCCAAAAAAAGGGGGTGGAGAGGTCACAAAAAATGGCACAACCATTTAAATGTGGACAGTCAATCATTCAATCAACAAGCCCTGTGTGAAAGGAACATGAATGTGTTATCCAGATACAGACCAAATGGACCAAAAAAGCCAATTCAATTCAAAAGATCAACAATTCAACAGAAACTGTCAGAGAACATAGCAGCTAATTCATAGTAAGCCAATTAGCCACTGCTAGTCATAGTTTAGCATATTCCAAGTTTCTCTATTTCTCGATTTTTTATAATGATAAATTATTAGACACTGTATATGTCCTGAATGTCAAAGATTTTATTATAATAGGGTAGCTTTCTTCTAACATATTTCAACCAGTCTACTGCCTTTTCTACTTTTCTTGATTCAAAGATCTGTTCACCAGTTCAATTAAATTATTAGTTCACATGTTTGAATTTCAGATGCCTAGTATTGTTCAATACCATATACATGAGTTTGTTTGCCCTTCTGACCCAGCTTTTTAATTTCCATTTTCTCTCTTTTTGTGGACTTGGTTTTATAGCTTACATTTTTAAATATTTGTGACAATTTTTATATGATATGGTTTATGAACAGAAGCTACCTGTTTCATCAGGTATTTAAACAAGAGTCAATCTTTTCTAACACTGGATATAAAACTGACTTGTTGGACTCAGATATTTAAGAGACTTTCAAAAATAAACTTGATTATATGCAATTTTCACTGATATTACCTTTAGGACTAATAAGATGTTACTTTACTATACTTCTTGAGAGGAGTAGTTGATGTTAGCAATACATAATTTAAGAATTCATTACACAAGGAATTCAGTACACATTTTGTACGGGAGGGGGCACTGAACTGCAGGCACATGCTCCTGGAGCAGAGCAAACCTTAACAGGGGAGAGTGTAATCGCAGTGGTATTACCTTACCAAATGCAAAGCCAGGCCTTCTGCCAAAACTAAAAATAAAGTCTCCCTCTGAATATAAAATTTGAAAGAATGAAAATATACTGGATGAGAAGAGCCAACTGTAGAAATGTCTCGATCCCAAAGATTGACAGTAGACTTTCAGGCACACCAAGAAACCAATCGCAGTAACCTAGGGTTAATCTTGGGCATAACTAAACTGTTATATTTAAGCTTTGAAATATAAATAATAAACTATATAATACTTTGTCTAAAGTAAGACAGAATTGATTTACATGGCATCTGTTAAAGCAGTTTCAACTATATTCTCCAGAAAAGATGCCAGGTCTTCCTTGAACTAGGGCCCTTGGGCTACCTATGCATATTTTTAAACTGCTAGAGCAAAGCAATTTCCCCATTTTCAAGTAAATTTTTATAGTATGCTCTTTCTAAAGTTATTTTCAAAAGTTGGTTAGATTATTTTCCCCAACCAGCGTCTCACCTCATAGCATTCACAGTAGTTTTTAAGACATCCTGATCGTTTGCAATTACATCCTTTGCTGTGACGTCGGTCTGATTCTCCCTCCTTTCCTTTCCCTATCTTAGGCTTAAAAGCTTCTGGATTTCTGTCAAGGCATGCCTATCAAAACAGATCAAATGACAAAAGTGAAGTTAAATCACAGGAGATTAAATTTAAATACCGCAAAGGGAATTAATTTTCTTTGTAAAACAAAAAGTTCTACAAAAAACAGGTGAAATTGGAAATTTTTATCAGTTAAATGAAATAAAAATAATCACCTTTATTGCTTTTTGCCTTTCATTTTCATGTTCCAAATTATTATAACAATTAGTACAATTACAGTTGTTGCAAAATTCACCATTTGCAAAGCAGTCACAATACCTGGAATATAAAAATCAGTGTAAATCATATAAAAAAGACATTGTTAAAACAAACTAGAAATTATCTGATATAATAGCATTATATATGCAGTAAAGCATTTTAGAAATGTACTTAGGGCTCCCTAGTTAGAGTTGACAGCATCTATCGATTGTCAACCATGTCAGGCTCAAAATTAACGTCACCGGCCGGCTCCTTAGAATTTTGGTTTAGATACTTAGTTTCAGTAGTAATAGCTGTCAACACAAGAGCTATGTAATTTTATGTGACCCCAAAGTAAGCTTTTTCAAAATCATGAATAAGGAAAGATATAGGCTATATTCTATTAGTGGAACTTGCTCACTTGAACCACAATTATGCTTCTTTGAATGCCAAACTCCCATAAGACCAATGCTTTTCATTTAACTGTTTCATGTCAAATCTCTTAGTTGAGTACTAATAAGCAAATTAATCATCCAGCAATTTTGAAAACTAGTCAGTATCACCTCATTCAGGAGACCAAATATAAAGGTCATAAATAAGATCAAATTTATTATTATTAAGGACAGACTATGTTACCTCCTGCTGCTATGTCTCAAAACCCTACTTTAGTGCCTCTTCTATAGTAAAAGCTCTAAATTTCTTTCTGAATGAATGAAAGAGTATTTTTATACTGTCATATGTTCTCAAACATTCACACTTGTATGTTTAGTTAAATTAGACTTATAAAACTGGTGTTCTAAGAATTTTTAGTTGACTCTATTTTAAAAAGCATTTCAGATATATCAAATGAGGAAACAACAGCAAAAAGACTTACAGTTTCAAACACAGGGATTTTGTACAATTACAGGGCTTTCTGGGCCGACTGGCTGACTCTGATGGGATTATGCTATATAGACACACAAATAGATATACATTTTAATCAATTAAAAGTAACTATTTAAAATTACTTAAATAAGCTTTAACAAATGTATCCATCTCTGATAAAAGTTTGCTATGTTGTTCCATTTACATTAAGTTCAAAAACAAGTTGTAACACGAAAAGGCAGAGAGCCAAGATACGAATTTAAAAAAAAGAAAAAGAAATTATCAACAGCTTCTACAGAACATTCCATAAAAAATATTCTTCCTTCTGAGAGAACCAAAGTTGAAATCTCCTCAAAACTTTTTGGATTCAACTATAAAAGGAAGTGAGTAGAAAGGGTGTGTGGGGCTGGATTTGGGGAGGTGAGGAGGGGTAGATTGGTCCCATGCTATTAACAAAGCACTGCCTCTAAACCAACACTGCAAAGGTAGCAATCGACAGATTAAAAAACAGGCAAAAAAAGCAAAGACCTAACATAGCAATTTAAAAACTATTTTTAAAAAAAAAGAGACAAAATAAAAACTAATGTCATTTAAAAAGTATATTTGTGGTGGGAGAAGAGGAGAGGAGAGACAGAATAATAAAACAAGTGGCAAAATTGGTGAATCCAAGCAAAAGATATTTGGGAGTTCTTTCATCTATCTTGTAACTTTTTTGTTTAAAGTATTTCAAAATAAAAGGTATCATAGAGGATTGCTCACATAGCTTTGAGAGGGAAAAGATGAAATACACATATTTGAAATATATATGTTTGATGCTGTATTTTACCTGATCTAACAACTTAACTTACATATTTTCAAAATACTCACCCATTGAATGGAAGCCTTGCCTGAGTCTGGATTCCTGATGTTCCAGTAAAGTTAGAGTTGCTTGCTATAGACACATATGAAGACTGCTGCAGCTACATGTAAAGAAAGGTAATTTTAGACCATATTTACAAAAATGGACAAAACTCTGAGATATAATGATCAATAAGAAGCACAAATTCATCTACTAAAATGGGAGAAACAGAATGGAGAATTTCATACGAACATACTACCTCATGGAACTTTTCTAACAACCCAAACTAATACTAGAGGTAAAAACACAATGTGAACATTTTAAAGCACTACATGGTATAAATATGAGAAATTTTTTCATAGAGGAGTATGTTATCAGAATTAGGAAATTCTAGATGAATGCCCTGAAAGTACTGTAATAATGTATACTGACTAGAAAAATGCAATGTGTCTACTTGTAAATATACTGATCATTCATCACATGGCAAGTTATAGAGAATCAGAAGTTACACACACAATTAAGTTTCTACTTTACACTGAAAAGAGATGCTTATGATAAAAATACCGAATATTAATTTTTTTCATCAGCAGCCACATTAACATTTCATTAAAGTACAAAAAGGTTTCTGCTTTTCTCTTATAATTTGAGATCAATCAAATAGCTTATAACATGTTGCTAATTTGCTTGATTCTTACACGAAAAAGGGAACTTCTATCTTCTTCCTAGAAGCGACAGTCCTAACCCAAGCCAGACAATTGGGTAATCCGTGGCTTTCATTTAAAGATGACCAGATGAAAGAGTCTGGACAGATCACTCAAAATGCATCACCTAGAAACGCATCTCACAGTCTGTTTTCCAAGAACAAGTCAATTGTATCACATTCAGAGGTGACAAAGAACTTTATTAGAGTCACAGTCCTTTCTAAATTCATTTGGACTCCGTTGATTTTAACTTCAACTTATTTTCTCACCAAACTGCCCTCATCTCCAAATTATCTGACTTGTATTTTTGGCTTGTGCTATATATTTCTCGGTGCTAAAGATAGATAAAAATAATCTGTTTTCATTAACATTTCAAGATTGTAGAAACAGCCATTTTAACACTGACTTAGATGGGTTTGAGTGATTTCAAAATGTGATAGCTCTAGACATCTTAGACCCAGTTATCTTTTTGGAAATGCAATGACTTCATTTTTGCCTCATACCTGAGTAACGTACTGAGCTGGAAGCACTGCGTAACCCACATTTCCTGTCCCTGGAGCCGGGGCCAGCACAGTGCCTGGTGGCAAGTTAGTGAGGTTTGGCTGGATCTGTGGCAGTGGGGTAGCAGGCATGATGAGCCGTTGCTGTGGCTGGCTAGTAGTAACTATTTGTGAAGTTGGGTTGATTGGTTTTGGAACAACCTAAAAAGAAAGTACATTGATAATTACAAAAATAAATTTTACAGTTTCTCAGTTCAGTATATATCTCTAGTTCTTAAATCTTACTTCTCAATTTTAAAAGTAAATTGTTTGGGAGAGACTAAGAAAAGAAGTTATCTGATACTCACTTGTTTGACAGTCTGTGCTGGGACAAGTGGAACTGACATCCGCACTGGAGTGGTATTAACGACCACAGGCTTTGCTTTTTAAAAAAGGGAGGAGAAGGACAATTTACTTACAGAAAATGGTATTTAAAACATTTCAGATACTTAGTTCTCTCAAGATATCCTCATGAAAGAGCTTAAAAAATCCCATTTGTTTCCTATTTGGAACAATCTTTAATTAGGATAGTTACCTTTCAAAATTCCTTAACCTATCTACCAGATAGCTATAGTCTACCCACTTTATGAGAGAATGCTTGTGGTTTAAGAAATTCTACTAAAAATACTTCAATCTGTATTCAGATGACATATATTCATTACCAAATCCAGTCAGATGAAATGCTGCTTAAGTTAAAAAAAAAAAAATTGCCATCCCGGAGCTTGGGTGAAAATGCTCTTCTACACAATTTCTAATTGTTGTGTTTCTATTTAAACGAGAGAAAAATATCATTCTTGTATAACTCACTATTTATAGAGTATCAACTAAAAGGCGACATAGCAAAGGCTAAGAATACGGGCTCTTAAATCATCAGACCCGGGGGTTCAAATCCCAATTCTGCTGCTTTCAAACGAAATTCTCTTTGCCTGTGTCCCCATCTGCAAGATTGGGATAGCAACCCCCATTAAAGAGTAACAGAATTAAATATGTTAATTCATAAAAATTTATTAGAACAGTACCCAACAAATATTAAGTGCTCAATAAACGTTAGTTATAAAAAAAAAGAAACAAAACAAAAAATCCTACCATTTGCAACAACATAGATGGACCTAGAGATTATTATGCTTTGTGAAATAAGTCAGACAGAGAAAGATAAATATCATAGCAAGGTTGGGAGGGTTGATGACCATATGATTTCACTTATATGTGGAATCTAAGGAACAAAAAGAACAAATTAATCGAAAACAGACTCACAAATACAGAAGACAATCTGCCAAAGGGGAGGCCGGTTGAGGGGCTGGAAGAAAGGGGTGCAGGGTTAAAGAAGTACAAATTAGTAGTTGATAGATGGCCATGGGGATGGGGAGCATGGCATAGGGAATGCAGCCAGCAGTAATTTAATGGCTAGGTGTAGAGCCAGATGGATGATAGAGTTATTGGAGGGAGCATTTCATAAACTATATAAATGCCTAACCAATGTATTGTATACTTGAAACTAATAATAAAATAAAATGCAAAAAAAGAAAAAAATAATATGTTGCTATTATTGTTATTGTTGTGATTATTACAAGTACTACTATATAAATGACACTGTGGACAGTGTTCCAAGGAAACTAAAGTACAAAACACACGCTCAAAGAGTTTATATTCAAGTAGAGCAGTTTAGACAAGTCTTCAAGTAAAACAAATACTGGGGAAAAAAAAAAAAAAAAAACGGAGAAAATGCTGTAGGAGTTCGAAGGAGACAGAATATACATGTGATTGGCAGAGGATGGGAGTATGGAAAGTATGCATTGAAGACACAGTGTCTGAGATGGGTCCTGATCAGTGGGGGCACACAGGCTGGAGGAGCACATTCCACGCAGAGGCAGAAGCATGAAAAGTGGAGAAGGCTTGATGCTGGGAAAGAGCAAAACATTTCACAAAATGTTAGTGAACAGAGCAGTTTGGTCGGAATCTAGGGTTAAAGTATACAAGCACAGACAAAAAGGCAGATTGAAGCCGTTGTGTTGAAGACCTTGAATGTTATGGTAGAAATCTATATTTTTAATTCAGTAAGCAATGAGATGAGGATTCTAAGGTATAGAAATATCATTAGAACAGCACAAAAAGAAACTATTTGGCAGCACTGTGTGAAATAGAATGGAACTAACAGCACTGAATGGAAAGGAAAGAGCAGTTGTAAGAGACACAGTAGAAGTGAAAGGAACATGAATTATCAACCTTTTGGATGGCAGAAATTGTAAGGATGAGAGGGAAGAAAAGTTAAGCCATTGAGCAACTTTCAAGTGACTGGGAAAATGACAGCCATTAAAGCTAAAAATTCAAGAATAAGCTGGTTTTAAGGGTGGATGAAACGTGACATAGAGAAGTGCTATGATGAAATTCAGGAGTTTGGTATTAGACTTATTATGTTTGGACCAAACGAAATACAAAATTTAATACTACCTTCTGCCACTTCCACAGTCTAAAAAAGGGGATTTAAGAAGCTAGAAAAGACATCCCTTAGGGTTTTATTTATGCAAATAGTCTAGAGCCTGGTCTGAAAGAGAGAAGTTGAGATAATGAGATCTAAACTGCTCTGAACTATAAAAGAAAAACACCAGATTTCCTTGGATAGGAAGGCTGGGAGGGTTGATGACTAAAAACCAAAAGTTGAGAGTCCTGGAAGAACATTAGAGTACCTGACCCAAAAGTGAGCAGGCCCCTGCAGCAAGGTAAGTAGGGAGAAGGGGAAGGCAAGAGACCTCCAGAAAGTGTGTGATTAGTGGTGAGGATTGCATATCTCTGAATATACTAAAAACCACTAAATGGTATGCTTAACAAAGGTGAATGTGGCTGTAGATATGAATTCTGTCTCAATAAATCCGGTATAAAAAAGAGTATATGACCACGAATTACAAAAGCAGTGATATCTGATACCTGATTTCGAAACTGTTTCCTTTTCTGTTTGAGTCTTCTCAGTTACTCTATCTTTAGTGAAGTTGTAACAATTGTAGACTGGTCTCAGCAATACCATAAGGAATTAAAAGGCAAATTAAACGGAATTAAAAGCCTGAATTCCTGCTTGGGACATAGAAGAGTGGACTCCCTACACCATTTGTTCCTTGGAAAGGAGATGCTGGTCATCATTCCATGAACACATAGAGCAGTGATTCTGAAGTGAGTGCAACAACTAGGGGTATGTAAAATAACGGGGAAGGAGTGTGTGGTCTGCCCTCAGACTCCAATAATTCCTATGTGGATAATAAAAAAAAGGGATCCCATGTGTTTGCTTGCTTGCTCATATTTGTGTGTGCAAGTATCTCTGAACACACACAGAGCTAGAAAATTTGGGAATTCTAGTTTATGTTAGCTTGGCATTAACATGCTGAGTTTTAACTGAAACCTGGGGAACGATGAAAATATAAGACAAGTGGTCAGAAAACAGAACACTAAATTGACTAGGAAAGAGGGCTCATATTGATGTTACATAATAAGTGAGTCTGTACTTCTCAACTTTTAGGCAGTTCCACATTACTACTACTGCAGTTTTCATAGAAGCTGGCATGGGGTTTTATTTTTTAGTCTTTAACTAGAATTCTAAACAATCCTTTTAGAACAGCCCCTTCCAATTAGAGAAACCACACCTGAAAGTTTTTGAGACTTAATTTCTTAAACTGATTTCCTCCCTCACCAAGATGGTTAGGAGATTATATTCTAAAGAGGTAAGCCAAGAACTCTATGGATATTCTTGGAGTGCGCCTGCCATCCAGCCAGCAGTGAACAACATGGAGCCACTGAATACTAGTTTTCATATGGCTTTGATGAGAAAATACACAAAATGAGCCCAATTTCCTTTGGCATAGTAAATGGCATAGGAAATTAAGCCCTTAGAAAGACATATTATACATTTGATGAACTAAAGCAACTATTTAGTGTATCTCTAATAAAAATGGTAAACTCATTATTCCTGTGAAATAATATATATTATATATACCCAGATATTTTATGGGATAGGAGAGAAAGCCAAAAAATATGAGTGGATATATAGGAAACTGCATGGGTAGTAAGTGTATGTGGGTGGGTGGGAAGAGAATACATGTATAGAGAAGGAGCCAGTGAGAAAGGAGAAAAGAAAGTTCAAGGTGGAAAGCAAAAAACGAAAGAAGGAATGGGAAGTGGTGGCGGGGGAAGAGATGAGGGATTTCCAAGAGGCAAAGAGAATAGAGAGGTAGAGAGAGACAGAAAGACAGACATGAAGTTAGAAAAGAAGGCACCACTAAAATTATGAGATGTTCAACCCATCCCTCCACTCTTCCTGGATCTTCAGCTTCCCCTTCTACTTACACCAAAGGTTTATTCTTGATAACGAGTCCTTCATTTTCTCTCAACAGTAATTTTAAAAAGTTCTTTTCTTCTACAGTTTCCCTTAAATGAACTAGCTATCAGCAATAGTTAGAATAAATAAATGCTCTTTAATTCTTTTATTTACATCCAGGAAACAATAAACCATTCAATTGCCATCAACTGCTTTTTGATATGTGAATATACAGCAGTCTTCCAAGGAAAAAAAATAATGCCCTAAACTATAAACTGTCCTGATCCTTTCATACCATTCGATTTTTTAACAAGTAGATAAATATGAAGAAAGGTTGTGTGTGTGTGTGTGTGTGTGTGTGTGCGCGTGCGCGCGCGTGTATCAGGTGGTAAGAAAGGTTAAACACAAACAGAAAATGGAAGGACTATAAACAGGAATATCCTCCAGAAAAAATACAACTGAACAAAATAACAGAACATTTTAATGGCTTTTTATTAGCAATTACAGTTTAAAAGAAGTAAAGAATGAAAGTGATATAAATTCTTACTTATCATTTACACCTCGCCTACTGGTCATTTCAACTGACCCAAACCCTATCAAGCATCTTCATAATTTAGAAAATAAGATAATTTGGTTCCATCTAAATTTATCCTACTAGCATCAGTAGTAGGTTTTAAAACAGCAATAAAATGGCTACCCACATATTGATGAATAATTATGCTTATTTGGTAGTATAGCAAGCACACTGTGTACCAACTTCTACAAGAATGAAATACTCTGCAGTTTTCATAGAAGCTGTCATGGGGTTTTATTTTTTAGTCTTTAACTAGAATTCTAAACAATCCTTTTAGAACAGCCCCTTCCAATTAGAGAAACCACACCTGAAAGTTTTTGAGACTTAATTTCTTAAACTGATTTCCTCCCTCACCAAGATGGTTAGGAGATTATATTCTAAAGAGGTAAGCCAAGAACTCTATGGATATTCTTGGAGTGCGCCTGCCATCCAGCCAGCAGTGAACAACATGGAGCCACTGAATACTAGTTTTCATATGGCTTTGATGAGAAAATACACAAAATGAGCCCAATTTCCTTTGGCATAGTAAATGGCATAGGAAATTAAGCCCTTAGAAAGACATATTATACATTTGATGAACTAAAGCAACTATTTAGTGTATCTCTAATAAAAATGGTAAACTCATTATTCCTGTGAAATAATATATATTATATATACCCAGATATTTTATGGGATAGGAGAGAAAGCCAAAAAATATGAGTGGATATATAGGAAACTGCATGGGTAGTAAGTGTATGTGGGTGGGTGGGAAGAGAATACATGTATAGAGAAGGAGCCAGTGAGAAAGGAGAAAAGAAAGTTCAAGGTGGAAAGCAAAAAACGAAAGAAGGAATGGGAAGTGGTGGCGGGGGAAGAGATGAGGGATTTCCAAGAGGCAAAGAGAATAGAGAGGTAGAGAGAGACAGAAAGACAGACATGAAGTTAGAAAAGAAGGCACCACTAAAATTATGAGATGTTCAACCCATCCCTCCACTCTTCCTGGATCTTCAGCTTCCCCTTCTACTTACACCAAAGGTTTATTCTTGATAACGAGTCCTTCATTTTCTCTCAACAGTAATTTTAAAAAGTTCTTTTCTTCTACAGTTTCCCTTAAATGAACTAGCTATCAGCAATAGTTAGAATAAATAAATGCTCTTTAATTCTTTTATTTACATCCAGGAAACAATAAACCATTCAATTGCTCTCAACTGCTTTTTGATATGTGAATATACAGCAGTCTTCCAAGGAAAAAAAATAATGCCCTAAACTATAAACTGTCCTGATCCTTTCATACCATTCGATTTTTTAACAAGTAGATAAATATGAAGAAAGGTTGTGTGTGTGTGTGTGTGTGTGTGTGTGCGCGTGCGCGCGCGTGTATCAGGTGGTAAGAAAGGTTAAACACAAACAGAAAATGGAAGGACTATAAACAGGAATATCCTCCAGAAAAAATACAACTGAACAAAATAACAGAACATTTTAATGGCTTTTTATTAGCAATTACAGTTTAAAAGAAGTAAAGAATGAAAGTGATATAAATTCTTACTTATCATTTACACCTCGCCTACTGGTCATTTCAACTGACCCAAACCCTATCAAGCATCTTCATAATTTAGAAAATAAGATAATTTGGTTCCATCTAAATTTATCCTACTAGCATCAGTAGTAGGTTTTAAAACAGCAATAAAATGGCTACCCACATATTGATGAATAATTATGCTTATTTGGTAGTATAGCAAGCACACTGTGTACCAACTTCTACAAGAATGAAATACTATAGTTATACACAACAACTATTTTATTTCATGGCTTTCTGTAACAGCTACTGATTCAAACTCTTAGCTGAAATGCCATAATCAGGATTTCAGCAAGGACCAATGTTCTTGAATAATGTTCAAAGTATAATTACTATTTTTAAAAAATGGTTACTAACCTTGCTGTAGAGGCTGAGTGTTTGTACTGGGATTCTGATTGGCTGGCTGAGCTGAGCTACTGGCTGTTGTGGCAGTAACAAGTCGGACATAATGAAACTTGCTTCCAGGCACTTGGATCTGTTGGACGTTGGGAGCAGTTGCCAGCGGAATAATTGTCTTAAATTGTGATGTGCTCACGCCTCCAACAGTGATGGTCTGCACAGCTGATTTCACTGCCTATTAAACAATACAATATGGCTATCATTAATCTGGTATTTAATTTTCCTACACCTTTTAACTTAGAACAATCACTCAAGTAAAAATGTCTGCTCCTGTATTTCATCAAAAGCTGTTGAAAGGAACAACCTGTTTAAAGAGAAATGAATAGTAACGAATACAGGAGTGAAACCACAGTTAGAGTTTTAGCTTCCATCTCTAGTAGTTAAGTTCCTTGATAGTCTGGGTCAGATGAATTGCTATGAAGAAATTATTACTCAAATTACAAGAACTTATACAGTTTTTGTTAATATCAGGTAAAAAGTATAAGAAAAGGATTATTTTAAAACTCCCAGAAATAAGCCTCATATTCAACATACAAAAAAAGGATTTATTGGCTTTATTACTACCCACCAAATTAACTGACAAATTTCATTTCCCCAAGTTCTAAAGGATGAAGAAAGCCAAAAGAAAAGCCCATATTATATCCTCAGTAAATCTAGTCAATTCTGAAAGGCTGAGAATACTCCACAGATACAAATAAGCCTACTAACATATGGGTAGAAGACCAAATTCAGTCGAGAATTATACCAATTTTGACTGTCTAGGGAAACTAATTTTGGGTGATTCAGATCTGAGTCAATACAATCATTTTTAATCATGTTCTTTAGTCCTACAAAAAGCAATGTGACTTCTTAAAAAGCTAAATGAAATATCAAAGGCAGAACACACAAGTCTTAAATTTTTCCAGTCTACGGCCATGCCACTCTGAACAAGCCTGATCCTGTCTGATTTCGGAAGCTAAGCAGGGTCGGGCCTGGCTAGTACTTGGATGGAAGACTAGGTGCTGTAGGTGTAAAAAATAAGGGATTGTAAGATGACAAGGTCCTTGCAATCTGTGAGGTCAACCAAGGGTTGCCTCACCTAAAAAAGTTCCTCTAGTAGTTGAATACCACAATAAGTTTAGTTAATATCCATCATTGCGTATAATTATTTTTTTCTTATGAGAACTTAAAAAAAACCTACTGGCTTAGCAACTTTCAACTATACAATATAGTATTCTTAACTACAGTCACCAGGCTATACATTACATCCCCAGAATTTATCTTATAGCTAAAAGTTTGTTCCTCTGATCACCTTCACACCCCCTGCCTCTGGCAACCACCAATTTGTTCTCTGTAGGGTTCTTTTTTATTTCCTTTTGATTCCACATGTGAGATCACCCAGTATTTGTCTTTCTCTGTCTGACTTATTGCACTTAGCATAATGCCCTCTCAAGGTCCATCCATGTTGTCACAAATAGCAGGATCTCATTCTTTTCTATGGCTTAATAATATACTGTGTGTGTGTGTGTGTGTGTGTGTGTGTGTGTGTGTGTGTACACATACACACATTTTATCCATTCATCTGTCAATGGAGACTTAGGTTGTTAACCTGTCTTGACTACTGTAAATAATGCTGCAATGAACATGGAGGTGCAGATATCTTTTCAAGATGGTAATTTAGTTTCCTTCGAGTAAACACCCAGAATGGAATTGTTGAATTATATGGTAGTTCTTAGTTTTTCAAAGAACCTCAACACTGTTTTCCATAGTGGCCACACCAATTTACAGTCCCATCAACAGTGCACCAGAGTTTCCTTTTCTCCACATTCTCTCCAACACTTATTTCTTTTCCTTTTGATAACAGTCATTCTAACAGGTGTGAGGTGATAGTTCACTGCGGTTTGGATTTTCATTTCCCTGATAAATAGTAATGTCAAACACCTTTTACTGTGCCTGTTGTATATTTGTATGTCTTTCCTTGAAAAATAATATGAGGTTCCTCTGCTCATTTTTTAATTGCATTTGTTGTTTTTTTTAATCTCTGTTGTATGAATTATTTATATGTTTTGGATAGTAACCCCTTATCAGACATAGGATTTGCAAATATTTTCTCCCATTCCATGGGTTGCCTTTTCATTTTGCTGATGGTTTCCTTTGCCGTAAGATGCTTTAGTTAATGTGGTCCCACTTGTTTATTTTTGCTTTTGGTGCCCTATCCGAAAAAATCATTGCCAAAACCAATATCAAGGAGCTTACCTCTTATATTTTCTTGTATAAGTTTTATGGCTTCAGATCTTATGTTCGAATCTTTAATCCATTGACTTGATTTTTGTGTACGGTGTAAGATAGTGGTCCACTTTCATTCCTTTGCATGTGGCTGTCCAGTTTTCCCATCATTTATTGAAAAGACTATCCTTTCCCCATTGTATATTATTGGCTCCTTTGTTATAAATTAATTTACCATATATTCATGGGTTTATTTCTGGGCTCTCCATTCTGTTTCATTGATCTATGCATCTGTGTGTATGCCAGTACTATACTGTTTTGATTACTATAGCTTTGTAATATAGTTTGAAATTAGGAGTTTGTAGGGTTCCATATTAACATGCTTTTAAAATTTGTATGACAGAATGTTTACAAAGCTATCATCATGGAAAAACTATGTTTACATTATCCTAATTCCCAAGTTTTAGGTTATAAAAATAAATAAAACTATCAAGCAACAAATTTGCAAGCTTTAAAATGCTTCTAAGTTAAAAGAGATAAATGAGAAAATGAAGAGATAAATATAGAACATGACTAATGACAGAGTCAAATCTTGAGATGGATACCAGAACTTTCAGCACTGATTTACTGACTGGTGAAATATTATTAACTAGGTATAAGGCGTTCATTTGTTATTTCTCATGGATATTAACTCAACAGATTTTATTCATAGTTATGAATTGTAGTGGCAAGAGTAAGTAATTTAAATGTGATGTATTAGAAGCATTCAAGGAAATGGTCAAACAATCTTATCAGGTAAAAATAGACAATCTGCTTTATAAGACATCAGCCTTATAAAAATCACAAACCAGCCACACTAAGGATTTAAACATATTACCAGGATAGGGTAAATAAAATAGTATGGGATTGGTCTAAAGGTCAAAGGAATAGATAAAAGAAACCATGTATAGAAAGCTTATGATGAAAGCTGGCTTCGCAAAGCAATAGTGAATAATGAGCTAGCTATTCAATTAATTCTATGGATTAGCCATTTGGTCTGAAGAAAAAAAGCTGGATCACTATCACCTTTTCCTTGTAACAGATTCCAAATAGATCAAAGATTTAACCTAAAAAATACAATCAACACTGGCATAAGGCCAGACATATATACCAATGGACTAGGATAGAGTCCAGAAATAAACCTGCACATATATAGTCAAATGATTTTCAATATCTGTGCCAAGACCATTCAATGTAAAAAAGATTGTCTTTTTAACAAATGGTGCTGGGAAAACTGGATATCTACATGCAAAAGAATGAAGGTGGACCTTTTCTCAAAATCATGTACAAAAATTAACTCAAAAGGGATCCATGACCTAAGTGCAAGACCTAAAAACTAGAAAACTCCTAGAAGAAAACATAAGATGAAGCTTCGGGACACTGGATTTGGCAATGATTTCTTGGATATGACACTAAGGGCACAGGCAATAAAAGAAAAAACAAACAAATTGGATTTCATGAAAATTTAAAAATTTTGTGCTTCAAAACATACTGTCAGAGTAAAACAGTAACTCACAGAATGGGAGAAAATATTTGCAAATTATATGTCTGATGAGAGATTAAAATCTAAATATATAGAGAACTTCTAGAACCCAAACGAATCAATTAAAAAACAGGCAAACGACTTGAATAGACATTCTCCAAAATAGATATACAATGGCAAATAAACACATGAAGAGATACTCAAACATCACTAATCATTAGGGAAATGCAAATCAAAACTACCATGAAATACCACCTCATATCCATTAGGATGCCTACTATCAAGAAACAGTGTTGGTGAGGATATGGAGACATTGGAACTTTTGTGCACTGTTGGTGGGAATGTAAAATGACATAGCCATTTGTGGGGAAAAAAATGAATGGTGGTTTCTCAAAATTAAACATAGCATTATCATATGATCCAGAAATTCTACTTCTGGGTATATACTCCAAATGAGAACTGAAAGCAGAGTCTCCAAAAGATATTTGTACATCTATGTTCACAGCATTATAATTCCAAGCTAAAAGTGTGAAAGCAACCTAAGTGTCCATAGACAGATGAAGACATACACTTATTCAGCCTTAAAAGAGGAAGGAAATTCTGACATATGCTACACCACTGGTGACCCTGAAGACATCATGCTATGTGAAATAAGCTAATCACAAGAGGATAAATACTATATGATTCCACTTGTATGAGGTACTTAGAGTAGCCAATATCAGAGACGGAAAGTAGAATGGTGATTGCCAAGACTGGAAGAAGCAAAGAATGGGGAGGTGTTATGTAATAATGGGTATGTAGTTTCGGTTTTCCAAGTTGAAAAGAGCTCTGGAGATGAATGATGAAGATGACAGCACGACAATGTGAAAGCACTTCATATCACTGAACTGCATACTTAAAAATGGTTAAGACAGCAAATTTTATATTGTCTGTATTTTACCACGATAAAAGAAATAGATTTCCACCTTCTAAAATGGATTATAAAAATCAGTCAGGATAAAAATGATATAGAAGCTAGTATTAGTTTAACCATTTCATAAAGTTTAAAAATAAGAATAAATCTATCTGTTCTTGTACTTAACTTGTAATAAAACTTACATGTAAAATATATAATATAAAAACAAATAACAATTTTTAAAAAATGAATATATAGTTTAAAACACTGGGGTAAGAAAAATTTGTCTAAGCATAGCTTAAAAACTCAAAATTCATACATGAAGATGCTACAATATTTTGGCTAATTTAATGTGTGAAATTTCTGCAAGAAAAAAAGACAAAGCTAACTCAGGAAAATGTACCTATTTTAATAACAAAGGATTAATTATCTTAATATGCTGTGGCATTTTTATAGCTCACAAGGAAAAAAAGACAAAACCAACTAATGGGCATCAGAGTTCACAGAAGAGTCCAGAAGACACAAAGACATGAATACTTTTTGAAATATAAAT